TTTCGTTGAATAATGAAAAGGACTTAAACAACAGATTAAAAAGAAAATAAATACTTTTTATATCAAATTATATACAAAAAATCATTCTGCACTTAAATAGCACAAAAATTCATTAAAATCTAATTTCAAGTGGAGTCTGACATGAGCAGTTGCTGTCTAAACTGAGTGCTCCAAATCAGTCACTTGTAATGTTCCCTCAGTTATGATGTTGTCTTAGAAGGCGGCTACCTATGCAGCCTGTAAACATGTCACTAGATTTGAACCAGAGCTAAAGTGTCGCTCAAGGAGGATGGAAGTTCAGCATTCTGACAACCTTTAATTTCTATTTACTTTTCTTTGAAAACTCATCAGGTGTAGCTGTCTGACACTTTTATGATATCAAAAAGTGTCAGACAGAAAGGAAATAGTGGATAATCATCGCTATCATGGTTGTGTAGCAAATACAGCTTTCACACGTCAGTTGATGACACTGTTTTCTGCCTCTCATAAGAGCTGATACACACACACACACACACACACACACACACACACACACACACACACACACACACACACACACACACAGTTGTGTCTGAATAGCCACTCATCCCTCTGCTGCATGGATGCAAATCAATGCTGTTTAGAATGAGCAGTGAATTATGTTAGCAGCATCAGTGGAGCGTGCTTTAAGAATTCATGTTTTATATCTGAAATGTGCGCGTCTGTACTCGATGAATAATTTATTAAGCACCTCAACTGAGGGGTTGAATCTTTATTAGCTTAATCTTTGTTTATTTATCCTTTTATTTATTTATCTCCTCGCTCAGCTCTTTTATTTCTCCTGCCAAACTAGGGGAAAAAAAAACATGCCTGTTCTTCATACGCAGCCTAAGGCCACACATTTCAAAGCCCGTGAACTCCGTTGTCTAGTCAGATGCAACATTGTTGTTTTAATGTAGGGCAATCTGAATTGTATGCACAGTACAGTGAAAATTATTAGCCTTTCTGTGCATTTTTCTTTTTGAAATGTTTCCTAAATGATGTTTAACAGAGCAGGGAAATTTTCATAGTATTTAATAATTTTTTATCTTCTGAAGAAAGTCCATTTTTGTTTTATTTCGGCTTGAATAAAAACAGTTAATTAATTAAAACCATTTTATGGTTAATATTATTCGTCCCGTTAAGCAGTATTTTTATTTGATTTTTTAAAAAATTTGTCCACAGCAGTGGTCCCCAACTTTTATCACCGCGGACTGATCAAAGCTTAACAATTTTACCACGGCCCGGGGGGTGGGTGTATATAGATTGCTAATTGACCATCAACTGTTTTCTCAGAGTTGCTTGCAGCATTCTATAGATGCTTTCAATTGGGTGAGCCTGGAAGATGTGAGCACATTGTGCCCCTTGCCTGCGCTGCTCCCAGTATGTGCACACAAGCCACACGCCTCCATTAGAAATACTGAACTTGCGTGCGGAAAAGATGTGCTATTTAAACGGCCACTATCATTTGTGATCTCCAGCAGTTGATCTTTTTTTATTAACAAATGTGTTGCGGATCCATACCTTTGACAGTTTGTGGATCCTGCACTGAGCTTTTTCCCTTTCGCAAAGACGTTTTCCAAAGACATCTGTCTGTTTCTTACTCATTTTGCTAGCTTGTGGGTTAAATTTTGGCGATCAAGTGACCAAGATGTAATTGAGAGAATACGGTCATTTTTTTTAAATAAAAGATCATTCAGACTCGAAGAATAAATAAAACGGAAACAATTCATGATTTCTTGTGTGGCTTGGTACCAATTGATCCATAGACTGGTAGCAGTCCGAGGCTCGGGGGTTTGGGACCACTGGTCTACAGAACAAACCATTTTTATACAGTGGCTTGCCTAATTAACCAATCTTACCTAGTTAAGCCTTTAAATAGCACTTTAAGCTGAATACTACTGTCTTGAACAGTACCAATCAAATATTATCTACTGTCATAATGGCAAAGATAAAATAAATGAGTTTGATTGGGGGAAAGATATACAGGGGAGTAATAATTTAGGGGGGCTCATAATTCTGACTTCAATTGTAAATGACTTGTATGTGACTTGAACAGTTTTATTCTGGCATATAAACATTTATGCTGACTCATGATTTTTTTATTGTCAGGTTGGACGACTCTTTGATTGAGCTCCTGGACATTTTTAGTCCTGTTTCCAATCCAGAGACGCACCGAAACAAACCCTCATCCCGAAATACTTTCATCGCCCCTCCATCCTCTAACAAGACCCTTTGCTCTCCGTTTGGGCCCAGCCGATCTGCTCTGCAAGACCTGGAGGAGAGTGAGATTTTAGAAGACATTTTTTTCATCTGTTGAAGGGTGAAAACGGATGCTCAGGTTGTGAAACAAGAACTCACTATTAACCATTCTTGTGCTCTTAATTCTGCCTTATTAGTGACTTAAAAAATGACGGTCTTAATTTTTTGTATTTTTTTTCCTCATGACGTTGCTGTATTCCAGGTTTATTTTTGCCTTAATAAAAATGTGTTTATTAATAAATGGTGTTGTTTATTCAGTCACAGATGGTTGGGCAGCAGCTCCTCAGGCTTTCCAAGGAACTGACGTAGACTGGCAATGTGTACGATTAAAGAGCTTCTCAAGAACAGTTGCTGTGATCTGTAATGTGTAATCCCACTGTCATCTGAACAAATGAGGAATTCTAGTAAGAGTGATTAGTCAGTAAGATGAAGTTAAAGTCACTGCAGCATTTACCACAAAATCATGCAATTCTGAGTTTCTTGGATGTAACGTATTAAGGGTGCATCGATGTTGTGATTTGGAAAACCTGGACTGAATTGCAAAATACAATCATGACAATTGTATTACCTGCAATTAGTGATGGTCATTTATCCAAAAGATTGATTGTAATATTTAAGCCTATTAAAAATTATATATATATATATATATATATATATATATATATATATATATATGTGTTTTACAAAAAGAACAGGGCATTTACAGGCACTTAAAAACTCAATTTTAGGGCTTAAAATAAGACCTTAAATCTACTGAAATATTGTGTTGCTGGTCTTGAATTTTTTTTAACAGGTCTTAATTTTCCTTTGTTCACGTATTGCTATACAATCACTAACAATTCATTTGAGCAAAGATTTTACCTTTTTATTTAAAAATATAATTTAATTACTTTCCTTTCAGTAACATTTGCTTAGTTCTCCATTTGTTTACTGCTAATGATACTGACCTGACCTATATTTTATTATTAAATTATTACTATTGTAGACTGAAGTTATGTTTTGTAAAGACAGCTATGTTTTATTTAAACTTTTAGCATTTTTGTAATTGGGCAAGTGAAAATCTTGTCTTACTAGGATATTCATAAAATCCTTAGCATTTAGTCCTGTATAAGTCTAAAATTTCATTCATTATAGTCTCAAAAATGTCTTAAGACTTAAATTTAACTTTGTGAAACCTGTAGAAACCCTGGAAGGACATTATTTTTTTAAGTCCAACCTTATTTTTGTCAATATTTACATTTTGTATGTTGTTTTTTTTTATATAAAAAATGAGCAAAAAAAAGAAAGAATCTAACAAAAAGCTTTTATACTGAGCCAAAAGAAAGTAAGGCAGGCCATTAATTATTGTAGTTGCATTGTGTTATGTTTTCTTGAAAAAAGCAGATCAAGCTAAATTTTTTAGGCTTTCTAAGCTTTTGTGAAATTTTGTTCACTTAAACTGTATACGTGTAATGGTTTTAACTAACTGGCCATGATTTTTAGGACGCACAATAACTAGACATGAATTCTGGATGCACAATATATCAGCGGCAATATTAGTATTGTCCTATAAATGCTATTTTTCATGTCATCATTTTCGATTCTAGAACAAAATTATTCACACATCTTTAAGACAGTAATCTTTTTTGCTTGCTGCTAGCCACTTTTTATTTTATTTTTATTTTTTGATTATTTTACTGATATTTTAATTTAGGTTAATGTTCAGTGACTTGGTTGCTTTATTTATTAATTTCTTTGTTCATGTATTGCTCGCTAATCTGGCCATTAACACCCATACAATCACCAACAATCCACCTCAATAAAACATGTAAGGGACATGAACAGGCAAGGCAAGGCATTACTTACCTTTTAGTAACATCTGCTTAAAAGTTCTCCATTTATTTACTGCCGATGATACTGACTGGTTTATTTTTCATTATTAGAGTTTTACTATTATAAATTAAAATTCTCTTATGTATAGACAAAATCTTGGTTGCTTTGTTTATAAATTTCTTAGATTGTATGTATATATAAAAAAAAAGGATATAGAAAAGATTTGTTGATTTAATACAAATCAGATCACTTCAAACTTTTCTAAAGTAAAATTTTAAAAATAAAATTAGTTTTTCATTGTTTAAGTTTGCCTTTGGTTTTTGCAATCCTGCAGAAAATTTAGAAAAATTATTAGACTTTTTAACAGCTACTACATTGGCTATCGGCCTCCAAACAAGTTAGTGGTTATCTGTATCAGTCAAAAATTAAATATTGTCGTATCCCTATTCTTCATAAAAACAAGTCTTTAACCAATAACATTGTAGCCAGATAAAACGTAAAAAATAAAAACCTGAAAAAATATTTCAGAGGGCTCTACACAATTTTTTCCCCACAACTCATATTTATGATATATTTCAAAGACATTAACATGTCCCTTCACTTTCCTACTCCCTTGCTTTTCCAATATATGCAGCAAATATGCTTTGATACTTCAAACTAGATCTGCGAATCATCTGTATATGCAATGGGATTCAGCCAAACATTGCTTCAGGGCTATTGGTCTAATTTGATCTGAAGTGGTGTAAAGAAAGTTTCAGAGAGAGGGCGAGTGTGTGTGTGTGCATATAAACCCACCACCTTTGAAGTGGTTTGAGAGTACATCAGTCGTGCCACAAATCCATAAACACACAGAGGAAGAGATAAAAAAAAAAAAAAAAAAAAAGTTGTGTAGACATACAGCAGGAATTGGGACAAGCTTAATGCTGCTTTATTCTACACTGTGCTTTATTACTGGGCTTAAGCGGAAACGCGTCATTCAGTAAAATTACAAAAGAGAGTCTAGGGACCAGAGAAACGTGGAGTTGAGAACAGGGCAGGAGCTGCGGCAGCACTTCCACCGCTAATACAGCTCAATCTCATTGTGATAGGCTTGGCAAAAATCCACAGATACTACCCAGCACGCTCAACTGTGCTCAAAATGTCTGAATTTTTTTCTTCTTTTCATTTTACTGCATTGTTTCTGTAAGTTCAGACTGTTTCTGATGAGTTGAAGACAGTTAGTGCTAATGAAGAACGGCTATAAAACCAGAGTTGCTGAGAGTCTGATGGATTAGTGCAGTTTTTCTTCCATGTTTTCTTTTTTTTTTGTTTCTTTCCAGTGTGTTTGGAAAAAGCAGTGAAGCACATCGGAGTTCTGACAGACGCATGGAATCGCAGAACAGAAGAAAACAGCAGACAGTTCTAACAGGTGCAGCAAAAAACTTTTGACACCAGTCCTTCATGAGTTCTACATTCTCCATAAAGGATTACCCTGATTCTGCCAGTTGCATTGTTCCATTGGGTCTCACGATACAAAAAACATGTAAAAATATACTTTTAAAAAAGCATCTCGAATGACAAAATGATATTCAGAGTGGATACAAACATATTAATAGCTCAAAAATAATAAAATAAAACAATAATTTAATAAATGACATAAATGAAATACATAAATAGGCAAATAAATACTCATGTTGGCAGCAGTTCCAAAAGTGACCTTAAAATGTTCTGATCGAATCTGATTGGCTTCTCGTACGTTTCGTAATCAACCTTACAGCCATACTGCATCTCTAAGGACTAGAGTTTACCTGCTTTTAATTCAGCTTGTTTTGTCTTTAAATTGTCATCCAGTCCTTCTAGATAGAAGTAAAAGACTATAAAATATGCAAACCTATATACAGAGGAACAGAGCAAAAAAGAGAAAAAACATTTACAGTATATTCAGCAGTTCATGTATATACTTATATATATTTATAATAAAACTTCTGTCGTCTTTGTCGGTTTTGTCAACTTTACACTTTTTCCAGATTGCTATGTAAACAGTTGCAGCTGAAAACGGTTAACGAGGAGGAAGATGATGAGCGAGAGAAAGACGGAAAAATCCAACAGACGGAATGCATATCCTGGCAAACGATCCTGGAATACCTGAATGATCATGTGTCGGAAAGATCTAAAAAGGCAAGATGCAAACATTCTCGGAACACGTCAGAAGCGAATTCCCCTTCGAAATGAGGTGAACTATCTACTGCTTGTTTCCCCCCCACTGAATCTTCGTTTATATTTACAATAGTGCCATCTTGTATAATAATAATAACAATAATAGAGCAGTTGCAAAGCATAACCAAAAGTCGTCCTTAAACGCGAGAAAATCGAAAACCTCTTCGAAGCGGCACATGTAAACACGCAATGTGATGCGGATTCTGACGATACTTGTGCAAAAACGTACATAATGCCCACTTCATTGTAACCGTAAGCAGAACACGTCGAGTGGGTGTTTTTCGGTAAATGGCGGTGTCAAGCTGCACAGGTTTGTCAACAAATATTTGAAGGCTTCGCAGATAGCTGTAGCTATAGTAGTCGTGTTTTTGTTTCGTTTGCATTTTTAAAAAGAAGTCGAGTGTTTGCGTTGTTTTGACATCATCATAATAATGAATGGCTGCTAGCGGTGTCGTAGCACAGTGCTGTCAGGTGTATGGACGCACTGCAGACGATTCGACGACGCATGCGCGAACGCGCGACAAAAAAAACGCCAATAACGTTTTTGTTTTTGTTTGTTTGCAAATGAGGCGGGAGGCAGATATGTCCATATTCTGTACTAACGATCCTGATTCTCTTTAAACTCTCAAACGAGAGGAGGCCTTTTTGCATTTGTAAGTAGCATATACACATATATACACAAATTGAATCAGTTTTCTTACCCTTGAACTTATGCTTTTGTATGTGTCTGTGTTTGTTGGCGGATAAGGAACGTGATATATATATATATATAGGATCGAGAGGAATGCCTGCAGATCGCAGCTGCCGATTTTTGAGATATTTTTTTCTCCCAGTGGTAAAAGTCCAAAGCAGAGCAGTGGTTTCAAACTCCAGCTTAAATCTACAAAAAAATTACAGCTCTACATATTGAATAGCCGCTTTCTATATATACACACATATAAAATATATGCATATAAATACATATATGGGTTTTGGGATTAATATCGTATGTATCCATATATATGCTGTACAAGTGCATACATATGAATACATATTGCTCGAATGTCTGCTATACATATACATATCGTATGTACGTTATATATATAAACAGGATTGTTTATCTCAAACCTCTTTAAGATGGTCTCTTAACTACAAGGTCAGGACGTAAGATAGAAAAGGTAAGGCTGCAATATGGAACAACCCTTCCCATGCACCCTTTCTCTCACCACAGAGAAAAACTAGAAGAGAAATAAAAATAAATATTCTTCATTTTGAGCAGTAATTGTAAACTAGCGAAGTGAACGGCCTCAACGGGCCATCAGAAATAGTTCTGCCAGTATTCAAAAGCATATCAGCAATCTATATGTATGCATATAGTCATATATGTTCTTTTTATACATATATCTTTTTTTTTCTTTCTTTTTTTCTTCTTAAATACAACTCTTAAACCGATTGGCACAGCAAGAGATGCAGTGGTCCGATTATGTTACAGGAACAAGTCTTTTTTCGTTTGTTTCTTTTTTTGTTCTTTTCATTTGTGATAAAAAGGTTTGGTCATTTGGTCCCTACACAACTAAGGAATGACAGGTGAGTCTCCCAGCGGACGCAGGCTGTGCTTTATGACAGCCGATGCCGCTGGAAACGGACAGGCACTCCAAGAAAAAAAGTTGGCCATCCCGAGTCGAAGCAAGTTCGTGTCCTGAATTGTCACATCCTTCCAAAAAGTTCTTTCAAGTTTTTTTTTTTTTGATCCTTTTTGTTGGTTTCTAAAACAGTTCTTTAAAAAGTTTTCCCAAAGACGTCTTCAATATTACATGATTCCCATCTAAAAGTCTACCGTAGTTTTAAAAAGTGTTTTTCTTCTTCTTCCGTACTACTTATTCAGAGCCTTCCAAGGGCTGGCATTGTTTTCCTTTCTTTCTTTTTTTTCTTTTTTTTTTAAATATATACTTTTGTGTTGGTCTTCAGTAGTGTCCAGTGGTCCTGCAAAATAAGGGCTCGGGGGTTTGGAGAAGGGAGTACGGTATGGTCCGGTAACACCGCGGCTCCCCTGAGTTTAACACTGAAGTCCAAAAAAAAAGGTCCATTGAGCCTCGTGGTGGTGGTGGAAAAATCACACGGCTCCGTCCTCCTCATGTCCCGCTTCAGTTCTATCCCCAGCCCCAATGATCTTGATCTGTTGTGATTTCAAATACATTTGGCATGTTATCAACATGTGTTCCAGCTCTACAAAACCTGTGGAGGAAACACAAAAGAACATGAGTATTTAAAGTCAGGATGAAATGAGTGTGCATGTTACATTTAGTTGTTTTTCATCTTTAAAAAAACTGTCAGAAAGTGTAAAAAAAAACACTTCACACCATTTAACATTTGTGCATTAATTAAAAAAAAGTCCCCTTTACCTAAAAACCTAAAATAAAAGTATCACATTATAATATATTTTTTACACTTTAAAGATTTCTTTAACATCATCAGTCCTGAGGATTGCTTTCAAAACATTTAAGGATTCATTTTAAAATTTTAAATCTTTTGGTTGTGCACTTTTGTTTTTAATAATGAAAAAAAAAAAAAACCTAAATGTATAACCTTCTATGTATTATAGCTAAATCTAAGCTGATTTTTAAAATTAATACAATTAAATAAATGAATCATCAGAAACAATGTTTTAGTGCTAAATATTAGTGCTAATTATTAGTCACAAAAAAAAAAAAAAAAACCATTTAACATTTGTGCATTAATTAAAAAAAAGTCCCCTTTACCTAAAAACCTAAAATAAAAGTATCACATTATAATATATTTTTTACACTTTAAAGATTTCTTTAACATCATCAGTCCTGAGGATTGCTTTCAAAACATTTAAGGATTCATTTTAAAATTTTAAATCTTTTGGTTGTGCACTTTTGTTTTTAATAATGAAAAAAAAAAACCTAAATGTATAACCTTCTATGTATTATAGCTAAATCTAAGCTGATTTTTAAAATTAATACAATTAAATAAATGAATCATCAGAAACAATGTTTTAGTGCTAAATATTAGTGCTAATTATTAGTGTCACAAAAAAAAAAAAAAAAAGAACAAAGTCAGGGTGCCCCCACTCCACCAAACAAAACATACAAATTATTCAATATTTAAAACTCTAAAATCCAAAACCAATACACCCCATTACGTAATTTTAGTTTAATGGCAAAGCAACAGAAAAAAAGGTTTCTTGATGTACACATCCTTAATATAAACACAAAAATATATATTTCATATAGGAATAGAATTCAATTCAATTCATCTTAATTTCATCACTCTGCTGCACAACTTGAACATTATCAATATCATGTGACAGTATTAGGTCTTAGGTATGATAATGGCGATGAGTAGGTCCTGAGACACGCTGTGTCACTCCAACAGAGGCTAGTATGTCTAAAGACCAGACTGTTGTGTCATTTTCATCATCTATATGAATAGTAAATTTAGGGATGGCTGACGTGAAACTGACGTTTCGACACCGCGTTGAGATCCCGAAGCATAAGTGTTTAGAAACACTGCACCGAAGCGTCAATTCCGAGTTTTTTGCTGACCTGCTTCCATCATCTTTTAAAAGTGACTCGTATCCGATCGTCTGCATTTACACAGCACACGGCAAAGGTGCAATGACCAGGAAAAAAAATGTATTTTTGCTTAAATAGTATTGGGATGAAAATATTGCTGTTTTATTGTGCATGTTTTTGATGGCACTTTTTTTTTTAACCTGGTATGAAATACTTTTTTGCCAAAATATATGCTATCAACAGCCAAAATTTTTACAAAAACTGAAATAAGACAAAAATGTTCTTAAATATGCACAGAAGATAACAGGGTCTTTTTTATCCTAAATCACTTAAAATATATAACATGTCTATATTATTATGTTTAGGGCTAGTTTATTGCTTAAAAGTTGTTTTTCTATTTGTGGAGTAAAATGACAAAAGCGCTGATGAATGTTGTTTATGTGTGAGGTCAGATGAGCACGAGCTGTATTGTCGTCTGCAGAGGCAGAGATGCTTCACTAGCTGTGTAAGTAGGTAATAACTTGTCCCAGTAAAAGGCATCAGCAGGGTAAATTAATGACACAGCATTGATTTTCCATCTTCATTTAGATGAGGAGATGTGAGATGATACGTGATACATGGGAATGACTGATCTTTCCCCCTCTGCCAGAGTGGAGAAAGAAGAGGTCCTATTTAATATCATACCCTGTTATACTGCAGACTTAACATCAACATGGAACGCTAAGCCGTCTTTACTTATTTTGGTTAATGGTGACTTTTTAGACTTCATTTTGATTAGACTTCAAGTTCAGATCTGTAAATCTTATAAGTGAAACTTTTTAAATCATGAAATAAAAACAATTGTGATATTAAATTAGAAATGTTTATTTTTATTTTTTTGTTATACGGTGAATCTGAAAATCAAGAAATCAAGTTAACTAGTTGAAACTGAAATGTGAACAATTGTTAATTGTGAGATTAAAAAAAGCAAAACTTACCATTAAAAGGGGGAAAAAAAAGTCAGAACTGCAAGATATAAAAACTCAGAAACCTGATACATTAGTGTTTTTTTGTTGTTGTTGGAAGATTAAACAATACGAATTTAAAATTGTGAGATACAATTGTAAAGTGTGAGATAAAAAAATCAGGGGCTGCACGTTGGCGCAATGGGTAGCACGGTCGCCGGTTTGAGCCTCGGCTAGGTCAGTTGGCAGTTTTGTGTGGAGTTTGCATGTTCTCCCCATGTTTGCGTGGGTTTTCTCCAGGTGCTCCAGTTCCCCCTACATGTCCAAAGACATGTGGTATAGGTAAATTGGGTAGCCTAAATTGTCATAGTGTGTGTATGTGTGTGAATGAGTGTGATGGATGTTTTCCAATGATGGGTTGCAGCTGGAAGGGCATCCGCTGCGTAAATGCTGGATAAGTTGGCGGATCATTCCTCTGTGGCGACCCCGGATTAAAAAAGGGGGTCCCACTTTATATTAAGTGGCCTTAACTAATATGCACTTACACAGGATTTAATAGTTTGTTACAATGTGCTTATTGTGTAAATACATGTATTTATTGTGTACTTATGCTTGATTAAATACCTGTATGTAATTACATCTGTAATTAACTTTTGTAATTACTTTTGTAAATACATTGCTGACCATTCCCTACACCTTAACCCACCCATAAACCTACCCACACCACCAAACTTGTCCCTAACCCAACCCCTATCCCAACTCAAGAGCACCACAAGTGTTCTCAAATACTTTATGAACACAGTAAGTACATTGTATTTATTTTTTGATGTAAGTACATAGTATTTAAGGACACTTAATATAAAGTGGGACCAAAAAGGGACTAAGCCGAAAAGAAAATAAATTAATTAATGAGATAAAAAAAAAAAAAAAATCTAAATTTAACAAAGACTCAGAATTGCAAAGGAAAAACATACAAAACTGCAGGGGGGAAAATTATAATAAAAAACGAACTGTGATATAAAATTAGTAATTAACTTATGTGGTTGAAAAATAAAAAATGAAAAATAAAATTAAATTCTAAGATTGCTAAATGTTTTATAGAATTATATAATATAAATATAACATAATATTACACGATACGTTTTGATATTTGATTCCTTGCTGAATTGAAAAAATGTAGTATTCTAATAAAAAACAAAAATAAATAATGAGATATAACCTGAACATTTGCAGAAAATGAAGTCAGGACTGAAAGATGTAAAAATGAAAGATGTTTTGAGATAAAAATGTCTGAACTGTCATAAAAACAAGCTTCATTTTCTTTTAACCTCTGTGTTGTATCCTGGCCCCTAATAGACCAAAATGACAGCCAAACAATTGTATTTTATTGTTTATAAATGGTGTCGTAAAAGTCTTTCCTCTGAGAGAGATTCTTTTCAATGAATAAACTCACAAATTTTACTGATTCTACTTTCTGACATACAGCGGGGAAAATAAGTATTGAATATGTCACCATTTTTCTCAGAAAACATATTTCTAAAGGTGCCGTTGACTTGAAATTTTCACCAGATGTTGGTAACAACCAAAGATCCACATATGCTAAGAAAACAAATCAAATTAGTTCACAAATTAAGTCATGCATAGGCCCACACGGCATCTGTGCATGCAAAATTCCACAGATTTTTAGCCTATAATTAATTCTGTTTATTTACTTGAGTAAATGTATGTAAATCTACATTTATTCAGTTTTTAAATTAATTTCAGTAATATTATTGACTAATATGAAAATGTTCATCTGACTTATGTACAATAAAGTTTGTAAAATCATATTTTTTTGTGTGATTTAGTAGAGATATTATATGAGAGACTTGGTTTGTTTACCAAATAAAGTGGATCTAATCGGATTTGCATTTTAAACATTAAATAAAAGTTAAAAAGATCTTATTTTTTATTTCACATGTTAAGGGTTTAGTTATGATACTCCCAAAATAATTTAGCACAAATCCACAGATTTTTACCAAAATCCTCCGCAAGAAATAACAAAAAACGTCTGCAGATTCTGTCTGGCCCTAGTTAAGCGTAATAAAACAAAATGCCACAGGGGAAAAGTATTGAACACATGAAGAAAGGGAGGTGTAAAAGACGGTAAAAAAGCCCAGACAACAGCTGAAATTTCTCAGTAGTTCTTCAGCAACCCTCTGCCCTTCGTCATTGTAAATTAATAACAGCTGCTTCAGTCCAACATCTAAATTAGCTGGATGATAAAGATTAAGCCAGGGTGAACATTTCAACAAGACATTTCCAAAACACAGCCAAAGAAACTGCTTTAATGAAAATGCCTTAAGAGAAAGAATATCAAGCTGTAGAATGGCCCAGACAATCACCTGATTTAAATCCAATATAGAATAGAAATGAAAGATCAGATTTGATAGACGAGACCCACAGAACCATAAAGATTTTCACACTTTGTTGAAGTCTGTGAAAAACTCACACCTGAACAATTCATGTGACTTCATTCTCCATATGAGAGTCGTCTTTAAGCTGCCATCACTTTTATATAAAGTATTAAATACATTTTAGTAGTTCAGTACTTTCTCCTTGTGTCATTCCATTGTTATTACATGTGATTTATTTTTCAGATTTTTTTGTTTTGTTTTATTTTTATGCAATATGCAAATATCTTTACATATGAAAACTAATTAAAAATAATTTAAAAATAATTAAAATTTTAAGGTTATATATATATATATATATATATATATATATATATATATATATATATATATATATATATATATATATATATATATATATATAGGATATATATATAGGATATAGATATAAAGGATTAAAATATTACAAAACATTATTTTCTAGGCTACGTAAATATAAAAAACATACTTTCAAGCCTTCTTCATTTTGGGGGGCTTTTTCAGTTTATTCATGACAATTTGCTTTTGTATAATGTTATTATTATTAGCAGTATTATTTATTATACGCATATTTATATTTGTTTTATTAAAAACAAGCTTAGATTAAGGCATAGCATGTGTATTAGGATATAACTCAGGTTTTTGAGCACACTTCGTTATTATTGTTCATTTATTCGTTTGCTGGAAATTAAAACTGAGTTTAGAAATAGTTTTAAAACAAATCTTTGTGCTTAACAAATGAAATTACTTATTTTTAGGCTAATGGATATCTGTGCGTACAAGGTTTTCCTATTCACGAGAGCGAAAGTGAAAGTAGATAGTGATGAGGCCTTATCTCTCATTGTCGCACTGCAGATGCTCTGTTTAACTGTTTTCTTGCTAGTGAAATGCTCAGTTTTTCCACTTACACTTACTTTACGTCATGAAAATAGCAAATGTGCCATGGCGCGACGCAACTGACTCTTAAAGGGAATGGGAGATGAGACTCTGATTGGTTTATTCTCAAAACACACCTATAACTCATTAAGAAAATAAGCTCAACCCTTTTAGACCATGCGCCACGGCGCAAAGCGGATTTTTCCTTCCTTATATTAGTAAAAGTGGATTCTGACACGCCCCTAATGCGTTTGCGCCCTGCTCTTTGCACTTTGCGCATGGATCGTCAAAATAGAGCACCTCGTGTCTTTTATTCTGACCTGTCTTTTCCCTGTGCGCAGCGGCGGCCTTCACCCCCAGGGTCAGGGGTGTCTGGGGCTCGGGACGGGGCTAATATGGGCGGTTGGCGTCCTTTGGCCTCTTCAGCTGCACTTTGAGTCTCTTCATGCCGATCTGAAAGCCGTTCATGGACTGGATTGCGGCCTGAGCGCTGCCCGGGTTATCAAAACTCACGAAACCTGCAGAGCAGAAAGATGGAGACGGCAGGTCAGCACCAGACGCATGAGCACGAGCGTGTGATGGACAGATGGACATTAGAGATGATCCAGGGAAGGTGGAGTGAGAAAATGAGACCAGAAATGAGTTGATGATAAAGGATGAGGTGAGTGTGAAATGAGGGGAGGAAGGGAAGGGGAGCAAATGAGTGTACTACAGTCATCGTGACACGTTTACCAGGTACATATTTCACAAATCAACAGATATGCACAAAGTCAATCAGTACAGTACAACAGCATACGTGTAATACACAATAATCAGAAGCACAGAGAACATGCACAACTACTACATGATATCCGCTCACTCCTAGCGTTAGCGAGAGGCTAATGCCTTTTTTTATGATGTGGAGTATTTGAAAAATAAAAAATATATATAATTTGACCGGATAATATTCGGGTGTCTCATAATAATGTCTTGTAAACATAACTTCTAAGATGCTGAAATCTGATTGAAAACTTTTTATATATACAGTAGTCAACATTCCTAGCCGATCAACAACTTTCATGAAATTTGTTGGGCCAACACCCATTGTTGTCATAAATGAGATAAAACCTTTTTGATCAACTTGAGTGTTGACTACTTTATGCTGGGATGTTTAATTAGCAGTGATGCTGGTTATTTTAGTACAGGGATGCCCAAACTAGGGCCCGCCAGCCAAAGTTGGCCTATGGTAACCTTTGATTTGGCCCACCATCCCATCTGAGAAGAAAGGGAGAATGATGGGGATGGTTTAGAGGTTGTTATTTCAAATTGAATGTAACCTTTTATTTGTTTATTTGACCGTTAAACAACAAACGGCTAACTGAAGTTAAATGTTTCAATTTAGATACCGTAGTTTAGTTTAAAATGTACATAACTGACCCGACGGCTAGAGGACAATGCAGAGACTTTGGTAAGGCAGGTTCTGCTAATGTATTCGGCACGGAACTCCACTGTATTATGAATGTGATTTGTTTATGTTTTAAATATTTTAAAATAAATTAGGAAATGACCTATGGCAACTTTAAATAGTTTAAATAGTTTGGTATGTTTATCTTTGGCCCATGACTCTCACGGATGTTTGGTTTTTGGCCCTTCATACAAAAAAGTTTGGGCACCCCTGTTTTAACATTTATTTTTAACAAAATGTCTATTAGCTTTGTTGCTAGTGTACTAAAGTTGATAAAACACTTTATAAAATGATCAGTCATAAATTGTTATTCATAGTAGTAATAATAATATAATAATTTATGTTTTACAATATGCCATTTTCTTTTTTATTATTCAGTTATTTGTCTGGAAGGGATGGTCCAAATATTGATTGTAGCCTGTATTAATTAATAATAATCAATAATATTTGTTATGTTATTATAATCAGGGCTTGACAAATGGGGGTAGATTTCAGCTGTGGCGGGTTAGACAGTTGCTCCCACTTGCCACTTTGGCTGGTTGGAAATCAATTTTATTTAATTGTATTTTAATTATAGTTTTACAAATAAAGATGGCCCAATATGCATACGCATGTGATCTTAGTTTTGAGCAGGACTTTTATCAGCATGACTGATAAAAATAACTGTGTTCGCAGGAGCAAATAAAGCAGGTGATAAAATGTATGGCTAAGAAATAACCAATTATTTTTGGTGTGGTCAGAGATAAATTAAATGATTAATGGTAAATCCTTAATTTTGAGCCCTGAAAAGTCATGTGAAATAAAAACGAATCGCAGTGTGACACTATGAAACCACAACCCATGTGCTCATGCACATTGAGCAAGGTCAAACACAACACAAAGTACAAAAGTATGAAGTAATTTTAGCATGTCAAAGTCAAATTTATGCAAATAAAATAAATTTTCCCAACAATAAAATTGTGGCTAGTAAAAATAGCGAGTGGCTAGTAACGTTGGAAATCTAGCCAAAGTGACTGGTGATCAAAAAAACCCTGATTATAATCATTACTATTATTTTGTAATTCACTATAATTGCATTTTATATATGATTATTTTCCTCTAGTATTGATTAAAATAATGATATCTTATTGTATGAAATATCGTAGACTGCTAACTGATAATTATCAACAATAATTGAATGTTGCAATCATTTACATTAACATTTTAAAATATATTTATAGAACTTATTTAATCTGGAAGTGTGTTTTTTTTATTCACTCATTTATTATTACCCCTCTCACATTTTAAATCCCACATTATCCCTCAAATTTTACATTCATTTATGCAATTTCCTTCGGCTTAGTCTTAGATTTATCAGAGGTCGTCACAGTGGAATGACCCGCCAGCCATTCATGCCAATTTTAAGTTTCTTTCTTTGGACTGTGGAAGAACTGGGGCACCCGGAGGAAACCCAAGCAAACAGAGCGAGAACATGCAAACTCCGCACAAAAATGCTAACTGGCCCAGCCGGGACTCGAATCAGCAACCATCTTGCTAACCCCTGAGCCAACGTGCTGCCTTAATGCTGTGCAGCTTAGCTATAATAAAAATAATGAACATTGTTTTTACCAAGCCTGATTTTCAAACACAGACAAAAGGATATATGTGGAATGTATATTAAAACCATATGAAGTTGCTAGATATGTCAAGGTTTTCCTCCGTGTTGATGTATTTCATACTTAAAGAGGAATATTTCAAACTTTGCTTGCATGCAGATGCCGGTAAAGCTAAGATAGAAGATCTAAAATCCACAAAAGTATCTTTCTGATTTTATGGCGTCTTCAAGAAATACTGTCCCTGTAAATAAAGCTAGCGCAGCTGTAATTTGTAGTATTGCCACTTCATTAAAAAGGCAGCTGAATCATGACACAAAAAATGCATTATTTATCACTGTTTGTGACTCAAATATTTACCATATTTCCGGCAAACAAATTGCGTAGTGTAAATCAGCTTCAATCTGTTCTCGCCGGTTGTAGCAATGACAGCGAAATGCTGCCAGTTAACACACGGACGTTTCAACGCAAATTATTTGCTCTCAATCCCCCATCTATTTCCTCCCTCTCCGCGCCGGCTCTGTCATGAGGTATTGTGATCATTTCAGCCGGCTCAGCATTTCACATCATCACGTCTGCGGTTCTGAAACACCTCCTGCTAACTGCGTTTATATTAAGCTGAAATGCAATAGCGTTGTGTTTGTTCATGCATGGGACGCCTCTGATAAGTCAAGGAGCCGGCGAAGCTGCAGATAGCGCTAATTAAAATATAGAGGTTCACATTAGTCACAGACAGGACGCGCGATCACGCTTCTGCAGTTTCCCCCTAGAGCTTCATGTCCCACATAAAGATAGTACATCCTCCATTTTTTTTTTTTTTACACTTAATTTGCCATTCATTCCTTTTTTACCCTGTCTTAAGCCAGGTGCACACTGTGTGATTTTATTCATAATACTGTACTGTAAACCTTTAGGTGTAAAATACTCATATTTGATATGACTTAAGATACCAGACATCAGGGCTGCACGATATAGGGAAAATTTGACATTGCAATTTTTTGTTTTGCTGCCATTTACTCACCGGCCACTTTATTAGGTACACCTGTCCAACTGCTCGTTAACGCAAATTTCTAATTAGCCAATCACATGTCAGCAACTCAATGCATTAAAGCATGTAGACATGGCCAAGACAATCTGCGGCAGTTCAAACTAAGCATCAGAATAGGGAAGAAAGATGATTTAAGTGACTGAATGTGGCATAGTTGTTGGTGCCTAACGGGCTGTTCTGAGTATTTAAGAAACTGCTGATCTACTGGGATTTTCACGGACAACCATCTATAGGATTTACAGAAAATGGTCCAAAAAAGAGAAACTGAGCTGATAGAAAGGCAACAGTAACTTAAATAACCACTTATAGCACACTTTAAGCTCATAAGTACCAATTGAGCATCGTGTCAATGTAGTGTACCTTCTGATGGCTACTTCCAGCAGGATAACTCGCCATGTCATAAAGCGCGAATCATCTAAGACTGGTTTTTTGAACATGAAAATGAACATGGCCTCCTCAGTCACCAGATCTCAATCCAATAGAGCACCTTTGGGATGTGGCGGAATGGGAGATTTGCATCATGGATGTGCAGCCGACAAATCTGCAATCTATCATGTCAATATGGATCAAAATCTCTGAGGAATATTTCCAATACCTTTTTGAATCTATGCCACGAAGGATTAAGGCAGTTCTGATCAAGTGGTGCTCGCTGCAGAGCCATTTTGGTGAGCTGAGCTCCAGAGAGGGGGAGCTTGAGCTTGAGCTCCACCTTTTTTGCACTTCTTCTACAAGTGATGTCACTGGGGGTAGGGTTAGGGTTGGTGTATGCATTAAAACAGCTTACAGGAGGAGGAGCGAGAGCTCATGCTCCCCCTCGCTGGAGCTCAGCTCTGCTCAAATGGCTCTGCAGCGAGCACCCTCTCGTTCTGATGGCAAAAGGGCATCCAACCCGGTACTAGTAAGGTGTACCTAATAAAGTGGCCGGTGAGTGTATATTGAGATATGAATACAATTTCACCAGATAGCTTGATTAGCTCCATTTTGGAAAGAATTTATACATTTTTAATGATTTGGGATTATTCTGAGGATTTTTCTAGATTATTATTGGGAAGATAGAAGCGAAAAATAATTTACATCGCAGTATTCAGGTATAGAAATTGAATAATCAAATGTAAAATAACACTTTATACTCAACACATGCATCTTTATTAGAGTTACAAACACAACAATTGCTTCTAATCGAATACTTTAAACTATCATGCCTGAATGCTTACACAGTCACAGGCCTTAAAAGCACATGCAAATGATGAACTTTCACTCCATTATGGTTAAAGTCTTTAGTGAATCTAAAAAGCTTCTGGTTCTGAACTGTTCCTCCTGATAAACTATAATCTCAATGTATAAACACTTCCTGCGATGTGACTATTGCGGATGTGCACATTGCGATATCGATGCTGAAACCATATATTGTGCAGCCCTACCAGACATTGCCAAATAGCTTGACTCCCAAATAGAATTATTACAATGTAAAAAATGTAATCATTCCTTAAGAGTCAAACTATTGTTGTCCAAAGGAAAAGTGCAGTTTAAGACAGATTTGGTCAGAATATGGGGGATTTAGGATCTGTTCTGTCTTCCGACAAAGTCTCCTGATTCAATTTTGTCCATTCAAGGCGTATGAAACTAAAAATTGTAGCAAACACTGTGATTTTGAAGCAGTAAAGTGTTTATTTACAACACTTTGTGAATGAACGCTACAGCATGCTGTATTGTTTAGTAATAAATTGTAACAAATATTTCAACATACTTACACTGCATTAAACTGTGGTATACTGTATTTGATTAGACTGCACGTTGCCTTTGTATGGCAGTATTTGTTTGCTCAACCTAAAATTGATTCGATTTTATCGCCCAAAACGGTAGCATAAAGCACACAGTTTGGACCTGGCTTTTTTTCGAAAGCTTCGCTGTGGTAGAGAAATGAGGTAAAAATGTTAATAGTGTGAGTAGAAATGAGAATAATCTTCACAGGTGTCTTATCATTTTTACCCACCAAAGCATTTACTTTGGTTTGTCGCCCGATCCACAAACACTTTGGAGGAGATGACATTACCGAAAGGCAGGAACATCTGCATCAGCTCGCCGTCCCCAAACTCCTGAGGGAGGTGATAAATAAACAGGTTACAGCCCTCCGGCCCTGCACACAGAGAAAGAGAGAGAAAGACAAGGAGGATTGTGGGATACAGAAGATTAGAGAGGCGGTTAGACAGGTAGACAGCAGGCACAGAAAATAAATGAGGGGAATAAAACAGAGGACAAAACAAAGACACAAATGGCAAAAATTAGATTTGGCTTGCCAAAGTTAAAACTGCAAAAGCGGTTTCTCTTTATTGAGTAGCTACTTTGGCATCTGAAAGTAGCAATTTTCCCCTTAAGTTGTACAGATGGAATAACTGTGAACAAACAAACGCTTGGATGTTCTTTAGGCACTCCTGAAAAGTTGTTTTAGATTAGCTCTTCTTTCAAACCGAGCGTAAAGTGATCAGAAAGGCCTGTGTTGGGTCGGAAATTAACAAGAGCTTGTGGACAAAAACATCAACAAAGTGAACAGAAGCAGTCGAACCAATTTAAAGTAATCTGCAATTAAACTGAACCACTACAGCCCAACAAAGGTTGATGAGAGAATGAATAGGGTGTCTCTTTGTGGCATTGCATTTACATTTGGCTTTATCAAATAAAAATGTAACCTCATAACTAATCGCACACAATTCTGTTGAGCTAATGAATGCAGTGGCCAATCACAGGTGTTGGATTAGTCAGCGCTGAGTTGAGTCATTGACTCATGAGTCATCATAAACATCAGACTGCTGAAAATGATGCGGGTAAGAGATTCATTTCACTCTTTTCATTGAAATGATTTGTCTGTGCAGCCAGACATTTCAATAGTCATCATTATTCATTTTTTAATGGATATCAAGAGCAGTAATCGTTTTTTTTTTTTTTTGAGTTTTCCCTTTTATTTAAATATAACATAATCACTCACATTTAGCAATTGACATACAATCAACAGATACTGTTAATAAAGTAAAAAAAAACAAAAACTTGATTTTTTTTCTTTTAATGGAAAAGTTCATTTCTGACCCTGCAGCTGCTTTGCAGATGTGTCACTAAACTTATTCTGATGGTGAAAGTGTTTTTTTATTTTCTTGTAACATATATAAGACCTGATATGATGGAAGTCCTCCATCCAATAGGAAGAATCACGTAATATAATAGCTGTTTGCAGAAGGATCTGCCATTACATCAGTGCTGTAATTGCAATTACTTTGCATGTGTCATTAGACAATATAATTGTTCAGCTATTTATTTGAATCAATTAGGCATAACATTAATTACCATTCTGTATTAAGCAGTGCCACTTTTATATACATCATTTCCTGTGCAATGTTTTACTTTGTTTTCTACAATCACTAAAATTATTTGACTACAAATACTTAAGATGCCTGCAGTCTAAAGCCCATGTAGTCCAAAGAAGTCTAAGGAACCTTTGTATATTACTTTTCATATACATATTCTATTATGCACAGGTCATGAGAGGCACTGGAAAAAAATCACTCCATGTCATTTGCATAGCAGTCATATTTCTTTCAGTAAAGTAAGAGTACAATAACAAAACCTTCTGTATGGTTTATAATAGCAGCCACTGGAGGGAGATGAAACCACAGTTTTGCACATAAAACTTCACAAAGTGTTGAATCTAACTGGTTAGATTGTAGTCAAGTAAATCTACAGTACATTTAGTCGACTAAAATTTTCTGCAATTAAGTCGACTTAAAAGTCTAGAGACTAATTTAGGACTAAAACTAAATAATAAAATCTTTTCAAATTAAACACAGCAGGACATGTTCTTACATATGGAAAAACAACCATAATCACAGATTTATAATGAACAAAATCACAGATTTATTGTTCTGCTGCGTCAGAATATCTAAAAATTCTTTAATCAAGAAGTATTTTATAAGCAAAACATATCATCTTGTTTTAGGAAATAATATGTCAAAATTAAGTAATTTTTTTTTTTAAACAAGCCTGTCAATGGGGTAAGGAAAATACTATTATTTCAAAAGGAAAAAACAGATTATGTTGCTTACCCCATTTATTTGGCTTGTTTTAAAGAAAATCTCACTTAATTTTATTAACATTATTTCATAACACAAGACTATATTTTTTTCTTGTCTAAAAAATGCTTCTTGATTTAAGAATTGCTAGATATTTGGGCTAGAAGCAAGACAAAAAACCTAAGTAAGAAAAGCATTTTTGAAGTGTGTAATTCTTTAGTAAGATGGCCAAGCTGACTTTTCAGCATCATTTTCAGCTTCACTGTTACATGAAATCATTCCACTATGCCAACTCTGTGTGGGAAAAGCATTTCATATTATCATCAAAACAGTTCTGCTGCTTTATCATTTTGTGGAAACCATGAGCCATTTTGGTTATGATTATCAAGTTCAAAGAACAGCATTTGTGTGATATACAATATACAGTTAAAGTCAGAATTATTAGCCCCCTGAATTATGAGCCCCCCTGTTTAATTTTATCCCTGGTTTCTGTTTAACGGAGAGATTTTTTTCAACACATTTCCAAACATAATAGTTTTAATAACTCACCTCTAATAACTGATTTATTTTATCTTTGCCATGATGACAGTAAATAATATTTGAATAGATCTTTTTCAAGACACTTCTGTACAGCTTAAAGTGACATTTAAAGGCTTAACTAGGTTTATCAGGTTAACTAGGCAGGTTAGGGTAATTAGGCAAGTTATTGTATAATGATGGTTTGTTCAATAGACTATCAAAAAAAAAAAAACTTTAAAGGGGCTACTAATTTTGTTCCTAAAATGTTGTTAAAAAAATTTAAAACTGCTTTTATTCTACCCGAAATAGAACAAATAAGACTTTCTCCAGAAGAAAAAAATATTACCAGACATACTGTGAAAATTTTCTTGCTCTGTTAAACATCATTTAGGAAATATTTAAAAAAAGAAAATTCAAAGGGGGGCTAATAATTCTGACAACTGTATATCCTATCATTTGGATTCATTTAAAAGTATAGCTCATCTAAAAGTAAAAATTTTTGCAATTATTTACTCACCTTTCACTTATTCAAAAACCATTTTAGCTTCTTTTTTCTGTTGAACGCAAAAGAAGATATTTTGAAAAATGCTGAAAGCCAGTCAAAATCAATGCGTCCAAGCAATCAGCATTTTTCTAAATAACTACTTCTTTTGTTCAACAGAATTAAGAATTTTGGTCACACTTTACAGTAAGGTTTCATTAAATAATGTATTTACTTACATCAACTAAGTATGAACAATACTTGTACCACATTTTTTTAATCATAGTTCAACATTTACATTTGCATTTATAACATCATTCTTGTTAATGCACTGCGAGTTAACATGAACTAACAATGAACAACAGTATTTTCATAAACCAATGCCAACTAAGCTGAATAAATACTGTAATACATGTATTAGTGTCTATTATTTGTTCATGTTAGTAAATACATTTTATACAAATTATTGTAAAGTATAATCAGAATATTTAGTCTATTTATTCAAACCACATGAGGAAGAATAAATGATGTGGTCAGTAAACATTATTTGGTGTGAACTATTCCTTTAATGCATTACTTGCTGAATCCTACTGACCCCGGTCTTATTATATATAAAATTACGAGAGAGACACTTCGCGACCGCAGCACAGATAGCGATCCTGCAGACTCCACTCACTCACCTTCTCTCTGCTGCTGAGGGATGATGGGAGGCGGCTGGGGAAAGGCCTGGCTGATCTGTCCATATGCAGCGGGGAAGGCTGCTGAGACACACACACACACACTTCACACCTCGAATTCCAGTACACGTAGACACAGCGGCATGCACTTTTCATTAACTCGCAAGCAAGAAAAAAAATCACAAGCAGCCTCCTTTTGAGTGACAGACCTGCATATTGTTGGACTCCGGCATAGGCCTGCTGTAGAGGGTCTGCAGCGGTGGGACTCTGAGCTGCAGAGAGAGAGAGAGAAAGAGACACACAAACCAGAGCATTACATAGACACACTCGGGGGGTCACTGAGTGCATCTTGAGTGTGTTCGGGTAGAGCGGAGCACCGAAAAATGAGCTTACCTCACTCCCCCTCCCCTTCATCGTTCATTCACCCCCCCAAAACAATTAAACCGGGGCCCTGCCAAGCTTCCCGAGAGTTGGAGAGACAGCCAGGGAGAGCGTGCGGAGAACAATATAGATCTACTGCTCTACACGGCACATCAATCAGCTGAGAGCTTTCACAGTATTAAAGGCAATTCAGGCCCGGCCTGTTCTAAACACCCATACACATACTATACAGCCTGGCAACTTAACGCTGCTCAAACTCTAACTCGGTAAATACTGCAGCATCCACGATCTGGATTATGAGTTCTCAGGGCTTTTTGAGTAGCAAACTACTAAAATTAAGGCAATAATGGGCTTCTTGTCAGCATTTACCCACACTCATGTTGTTCCAGATGTGTATAAACACAACAAAAAATGAAGACAGCTTAAATTTTCGGTGGATTTGATTCTGATTGGTCAATTTCAGTAATTGATGTAAATGTATATACCAAACAGCACTGTTAAGACTCCTACTATGCCTAGTTTTGACTATCTTTACCTCCTGCACTGTAAAAAATGCAGCGTTCCACATAATGCCTTCATGTTGTCCCGACACAAATCGATTCAGATAGCTTAATCGTTTTTACAAATTTATGTGGATTGAACATAAAACAATGAAGTTGTCCCCCTCAAAAACTTAAGAATTGTTTTGTTTCAACTTATTTTAAATAAGTAGATTGAACAGACATTTTTTTTTTTGAGTGTGAATCACACATCATGAAATAGTTATGTGTTATTTTTTTATCTTTTGGTGCGTTTACACTACCTGACAAGATAGTTAGGTAGTGTAAAAAGAACGGGCGTCTAAACTCGGTCCTGGAGGGCCAGTATCCTGGAGAGTTTAGCTCCAACACACATGAACCAGCTAATCAAGCTTTTACTAGATATACTAGAAACTTCCTGGAAGGTGTGTTGAAGCAAGTTGGAGCTAAACTCTCCCGGACACCGGCCCTCTAGGACCGAGTTTGGACACCCCTGGTGTAAAGTCTTGTCTTCAATCCCAGTTGTAAGAGCAACAAATAATAACTTGACTTCACGTTGATCATTTGTAAAAGTGGCAGAAGGTCGATTTTTCTGATGAATTGTCTGTTGAGCTGCATCCTAATCATCACAAATACTGCAGAAGACCTACTGGAGCCAGACAAGTTTGGTGAAGGAAAAATCATGGTTTGGGGTTACATTCAGTGTGTGGACAGGTGAGAGATCTGCAGAGTGGATGGCAACATCAACAGCCTGAGGTATCAAGACATTTGTGCTGCCCATTGCATTAAAAACCACAGGAGAGGGCAAATCCTTCAACAGTATAGCGCTCCTTCACATACCTCAGCCTCAAAGGTCCTAAAAAGGAAAGAATGTAAAGGTGCTCCAGGATTGGCCAGCCCAGTCACCAGAGATGAACATTATTGAGCATGTCTGGGGTACAATGAAGGAGGAGACATTGAAGATGAATACAAAGAATCTTGATGAACTCTGGGAGTCTTGTGTTAGGACTGCGTTGTTTTGTGTTTCTGTGTGTTTGATTTGATTCTGGATTGGGGGCGTGTCTTCAGCGCACCTGATGCTGGTCAGCGCCCTTATTTAAACCCCGGCAGAGAGCTTGTCGGGGCCGCTGTTCATTAACTTGACAGTTGGCCAGAGCTGCGCTCCAATTTGGGCATTATGCTTTGTTTAGCATCCATACACTATCACTGACAATATTTACCGCATCCATACACTTGCATTTCACACTGATTGAACATACTGATACTGATATTTTGATTATATAATTTAAATTGAGTTAAATAAATCTTCTTTTTGATTATACTTCGCCTTGTCGTCTCCCTTACTAAATTACATCCATGAGCCTGGTGTAACACTTGCAAGAACGCTTTCTTTGCCATTCCAGATGACTTTATTAATAAGTGATTTGAGTCATTGCAGAGATGTATGGATGCAGTCCTCCAAGCTCATGGGAGTCATACACAATATTAAATCTTTTTCCACTGCACCATGACTTTATATTCTACACTGTACATTATTTCTGTTAGGTGAAAAGACTTTTGTCTAAGCAAAGTCAAACCTTACTGTCCTAATCAAATATTAACAATCAAGGCATGATCATATTTTATTCTGCTAAAATAAGCGTAATCTGGAGGCCTTTGCTTTCATATAAGCCACTTCTGATACCAAATGATACACTAGAAGACAAGTTATTATTTGTTGTTCCTAAAACTTGGATAAAAAGGTATTCCATACCAAATATCACATCCAAATTATTTTAACTTTTGCTTCTTCTGCTCGCTTGCATTGCCGTGAGTATTCCTTTAAAGAAATGTAGATCATGACAAAATAAGATTGAATAGTCGGAACAAAACTATTCACAAAAAATCAAAATGCATCTTGGTTGACCAGTTGTGACAGAATGACTCAATATCCAGGTTAAAACAAATAGAAAACAGAGTCTATTACTGAATATACACTACCAGTCAAAAGTTTGTGAAATTATTCTGTTGAAGGCGGCTTTTATTAAATGTAAAAACAAAATGGTTAAATATTGATTAAAATTTGAAATAACTGCTTTCTTATTGTATGTAGTTTCAAATTAAAGTATTACTCCAGTCATTATTGCTTTTATTACTATTATGGAATTATGATAGTCTATAGAACAAACCATCATTATACAATAACATGCCTAATGACCCTAACCCGCATAGTTAACCTAATTAACCTAGTTTAGCCTTTAAATGTCACTTTAAGCTGTATAGAAGTGTCTTGAAAAACATTTAGTAAAATATAATTTACTGTCATCATGGCATAGATAAAATAAATCAGTTATTAGAAATGAGTTATTAAAACTATTATGTTTAGAGAAAAAAAATCTTCTCTCCATTAATCAGAAATTGGGAAAAAAAAGCTAAACAAGGGGGCTAATAATTTTGACATCAAATGCGTATATATATATATATATATATATATATATATATATATATATATATATATATATTTTTTTTTTTTTTTTTTTTTTTTTTTGCATGTCTGAACAACATGAGGCTGAGTAAAAAATGATTAGAATTTAAAAAGTGTTTGTTGAACTATTCTAGTTCATATAATTCTATGATGGCTTTTGTGTAGCCTTATGCTTAAAAAAAAACTAGTCTGGAGACCAAAAATGGGAAGGATTTGAAAGCATAGCTGCCAAACACTGTACAAAGCATGCACATAAAACTATAGCCACACTACAACAACAGCAACACTCTACAAAGCTGACGACACCAAACAAACATGAAGAGACTACTCACATCAACCACTCCTTCTGTCTACCGCATTACACACACACACAGACACACACACGACACTAACGTTTGAGGGTTTCTATACCTTCTGAGAGAGACGACAGGAAGCAGCTTCCCTGAACCCCAAAACAACTTCTCTGTGCGACGCCCAGGCCGCCCTTCTCCGAGTCTTCCCTAAACACCACTTCCTGCAAAACTGGGATACAGCCGGGAGACAGGCGTTTGCTTTCCTCTGTGGCACTGGACATGAAAACCACTCCACAACACACACACAGTCTCTAAGAGCCCACCGCTGAGCACTTCTTCAAACGCAGCTTCCACAAACATTTTCAATAACTTTAGTGTTTATTAAAAGGCTGCCGACTCATCGACACACAGTGCATAAGATAAACTGCTTTATGTGCAAACATTATACTGCAAGAACTAGTGTAATTCACTGATGTTGATTGTTAGAATAGGATGAGGACTTGAGTTGTGCTTATCCACCTTTTTCCTCTCATGACTTTATCAAATAATGAGTTACTCTTTCAGTTTTAGGGAACTTCTATTTATATATATCAAACTAGCAGGAGAAGCAGTGAGTTAATAACTAATCAGTGCTACACTTAGTTAATAGTTATGTTTCCATCCACCTATTTCTATGTGCATTTTAGATTTGTGCATTAAAAACTGGTTGATGGAAACACCAAGATGTGCATAAAAAACATAGATGTATGAACTGAGCGGGATAAACTCTCTATTCGATAATATGCGCATAAACTACGATGGAAACACTTTTACCGAACAAATTCCAGTATGTGCAATAAAAAAAAGGTCATGTGATTTTGTTATAAGAGATCATGTGATGATTAAAATGTGCGTGAAACCAGTAGGCTGAACACACTGTAAAACATCTGAAATGTTTTTTTGGTCGTTCTAAAATGACATTTCAGCATTTGTGTTATTATATTTTTAATTGTCGAAAGCATCTGTGCTCAGCGTCCTACGCCTTCAAACTGCACCAAGGGTTCATTGTGTGTTGGCATTGTCATTTATTAAATGAAGAAAAGATTCACCCAGCTTCTCTTACTGCAGTAAATTCTGTTTTTACTTTTGATATTAAGCGCCAGTTAATCAGAAAGTGACGATTTTGTTCTCTTTAGCCACATTCACATAGCAATACCAGTAAATATCAGGAAAATTTCCAGAAAAACTTTACCAGTAAGTAGGGCCAAATGGAATCTGCGGACAGTTTTTGCTATTTATGCACAGAATTTTGTTAAAAATCAGCGCATTTATGTGGAATTATTTTGGGAGTATCATAACTAAAACCTTAATATATATATTTTTTAACTTGTATTTAATGTTGACAATGCAAATCCAATTGGCAATCAAAGCAAGTCTTTTATATAATATATCTACTAAAAGACAGAAAATATGACTTTACAAACTGTATCGTAAGTACATTGTATAAATATTTTCATATTAGTCAATAACATTACTGAAATTAATAAAAAAACTAAATAACTATAAATGTATACACATTTACACAAGTAAATAAACAGAATTAATGATGGATTAAAAATCTGCAAAATTTTGCACGCGCAGATTCCGTGTGGGCCTACCGGTAAGTTATTAATAGCGCTGTTCATACAGGCAAGGACGTTCTGAATTTTTTTTGGAAAAGATCGTTCACACTTCCATTCCAAAATACCGGTAAATTCTGACATTGTTAACCAGAAATAACCTCTAAACGGCTGCACTTGTTTTTGTAAACATAATAGGGATCAGGCTTTTGTTGATGTTTTACTTTTATTAAAAGCTTTAGCAGCTGTTTTGGTCCCAGAGACATCCAAAGGCAAAAGCGTGAACCGCAGCTAAATGTTTACACATTTGATGTCATTACAAATTCTGTGGATGGATAAGTATTTTGAACAACTTCGATGAAAACATGAAGAAACACTTTTGCATGTCAAGATGTACTCCTTCACGTGCACACGTCAAGCAACTGAAGCAGAACAAAGACTGTAGAATACAAATGACTTTGGCTTGAAGGTAAATGAACAGCGCTTTATCATAAGCATTTTATTGATAATTTATTTACACAGTTGGCATTAAGAAGGAACATAGAAACGTTATCTGACTTACATCTAGCAGCTAAATGTGTCTGGAAAAGTGTTCAAAGGCTTTTATTTATGAACAGCGCGGATGTGAATGCGTCTGAATGTTCTGATTGTTTGGAGTAGGCGTTTCGCATCAGCACATTCTAATCAAGAAAGCGCTCTTTCCGCCAATTTTCCTTCTGCATTAACACAGAGCAGCTTTCAGGAAAACTGCAAGAAAGAATTTACCGGTATTTTCAAAACGGGGCTGTTCACACATGATCCCTTTCCAGAAAATTGCCGGTATTTTCTGGAAAGGGGATTTTGACTCATTGGGTTGAAATGCTGCCTTATTCGCACGTCTTTTATGTGAAATTTCAGTTTTGCACAGAAATTTAATTTGTATCTTTCGATGGAAACAGCTACTGAAGTGTTGGCTAAACAGATGTGTCTTCAGACGTTTCTTGGCTAGAAGCTGATGGAAAAGAAAAACGGTCCGAGAACTGAGCCCTGAGGCACCCCAGTAGCACTTTACTTCTCCAAGTCACCCTAAATGACCTACCTGAGAGGTAAGAACTAAAGAGAATTTGCTGTATATTTGAAATAAAATATATTTTTGCCACAGATAATCTATAAATATCGTGTAAAACCAAGTGAAAGGTAAATTTTATGCTTCATGAAAATAAAATGACACTTGGTAATTACCATGACATTAGTTTCACAAGTATGTTTATCCTCAAAGCTTTTTTTTGTTGTTGTTGCTGCTCAGGTTATTTTCTCTTTTTGTTCCCCGCAATACAAAAATTTTCAATATACGTCCTTAAGATAATTGCGAGAGTTTTTGAGTTTTTGTGGTTCTTCATGATCTGCTGACAGTAATTTGTTTATTCTTATAAGTTGCCTTTTAATATACAATTTAATTCACTGATTGTTTGCAGTTTAAAGGAAGTTTCTCCCATATTTGTGGTCATAGGGTGTAGGAAAAAGGTGGATATTAGTCATATTTTACTGTTGTGAAGTGTAGCTATTAATGAGTTTTTGAATACAAGTTAAAAGCATGACAGCAGATCTTGATTGGAGGGTGTAGTACCTGGGTACGGGTGGATGCCGTTGGTAAACATGGCCTCCGCCGGGGCCTGGCCGTTGGCTTGAGGAGGAGGCAGGCCTGTGAAACCGTTCACACTAATCGGAGATGGAATGCTGGTCACTGTGGGTGCTGTGATGCCAGGGGGTGTGCTTCCACCTGGGGGGCGGAGCCAGAGAGAGAACATTTTGAATATTCATAGCTTATTCATATGGATTTTGGTGGACATAGAGGGTTTATTTCCCTTTAAGCCGACTGCACGATTTTAGCCCTAATTTAGACTCACCAACAGGTTTTGAGAAATCGGCAACAAATGCCTGAAATGACTGGCAAATCGGTGCTCGTTCATGTTAGTAACAATCACACAGTGTGAACTATCAAAGATGCAATTTGTGAGTCGCCGACACCCATGAGATATTTTAAAATCATGCTGTGTAAAATGTGTTCTGATTGGTGATTACATACAGCCAATGAGAGAGCAGCATCCACTAGTATGGGTATCTGCAGGCCAGCGGGAGGTTGTGAGACATAGTTTGTGGAGTCAAAAGAGGATTCTCCTATTATAAAATCATGCAGTGTGAAACGATTACGCCACTGATCAACACTACAGTGTAACACAGCACCGACTGAATGCTGCCCCAGATAGTCATGCAGTGTGAAAACATTTGTGATGCCACTACTTTAAAAATCATGCAGTCTGAACTCGGCATTAGTCTGGTAAAGTGGTGCACAAATGTTTTTGTTTTGAATCATTTCATTACAATTTTAGTGAATGAAAAAAAAAGTTAACATAAAAGCATACAATTTAATTGGCTTGAATACCAATGTCCTTTTCAGAGGACGCAAGTTATTTATTTTCTAAATTATTGTTAACATTGAATTTGATTTTTTTATACTTTTAATTACTGTTCAAGAACTGTGCATGCATCTCTTTTTGTTCATTTCATTTCTGAATGTAATGTAATATATCTAAAAAGTTATACCCTTTATAATTTTTAGCATTATTTATATAATTATTATATTCTAATAATTATATATGCTAATACTCATTATTATATTATTTATACGGTAATCGCTTTTATAATGATTTATTAATAAAACTTATATTTTTCATATTTTAATTACTTATTGCACTGCGGCCTGTTAAAAATTCAAGTGTGCATCTAACTCATTACATCAATATAAAGTATCATCTATAAACACACACACACACACACACACACACACACACACACACACACACACACACACACACACACACACACAGACACACACACACACACACACACACACACACACACACACACACACACACACACACACACACACACACACACACACACACACACACACACACACACACACACACACACACACACACCTATGTAAGTATTTGATATAGTACATTAATTTAAAATTAAATCCACAGAGCATGCCTGTATAAACCATCTGTCTCTCTTGCCAAAAATAAAAAAGCACTTATGCTACAACTTAAAGCAAAACATTTTAGCCATGAATAATTGAAGACTTTGAAGCGAAACCTCATCCAGTCTGAAAATGTGTGTGTGTGTACTTGTACTTAATTATGTGGTTTGCATAATGACATGGGTATATGACGTAGGTGTTACTTTGTTAAAGTTTACGAGGACATGCGCTGTGTCCTTATAATTCAAAATGCTAAAAAAAATTACATTTCAAATTTGCCACAGGTTTCCTCTGAGGGGTTGCGTTTATGGGTATGGTAAGGCCATATAATAGGTGGATTTTACAGTATAAACTAGATTACACCTATGAAGCATCCTAGTAAACCGACATACACTTACAGGCCACTTTATTAGGTACACCTGTCCAACTGCTTGTTAACGCAAATTTCAATCAGCCAATCACAAGGCAGCAACTCAATGCTTTTAGACATGGTCAAGACAATCTGCTGCAGTTCAAACAGCATCAGAAGAGAGGAAGAAAGTAGATTTAAGTGACTTTGAACTGACGGGCTGGTCTGAGTATTTTAGAAACTGCTGATCTACTAGGATTTTCATTTACAACCATCTCTAGGGTTTACAGAATATAGTCCAAAAGAGAGAAAATGTCCTGTGAGCAGCAGTTCTGTGGGCGCGAATGCCTTGTTGACGCCAGAGGTCAGAGGAGAATGGCCAGACTGGTTCCAGCTTATAGAAAGGCAACAGTAACTCAATCAATAACTCGTTACAATCGAGGTGTGCAGTAGAGCATCTCTAAACGCACAACACGTTGAATTGCATGATGCTATCATGTCAATATGGACCAAAATCCCTGTGTAATATTTTCAGTACTTTTTTGAATCTATGCCACGAAGGATTAAAGCATTTCTGAGGGCAATAGGAGGTCCAACCTGGGACTAGTAAAGGGTGCCTAATAAAGTGGTAAGTGTATGTGTACTGTATGTGTATGTTTCCTTACCTGATGTTGGGGTCATGGGAGCCCCAGGGAGGCCGTTGATGGTGGCCATGTGTTGCATCTGTGCGGCAGCAAAAGCAGCCATCGGGCTGAGATACCCCCCCTGACCCACCGACGCCATCAGCGCTGCCTGCTGCTGAACCTGAAACACAAATTTTGATTTAAAGGTTAAACACCCTCATGGGTTAGTTAAGTGTATAGTGAGAGATTAGGCGTTGATTTCATACATTTCTACTGTTTCAAAGCACTGCACCAGTAATTCAACTTAAATACAGCAGTAATTTATAGTAAAAGCTTTAAATTAAGAACCATACTAAAGTGTATTAGTGTATTATGTTCAACTGTTTTTAAAGAAGGCCACTGCATATTGTAGTACAGGGTGTAACGGAGGCTAGCTGGCCTCACTCCCATAGCTTTCTTCTTAAAGCATTCGCTTCCCATGCATGAATCGCCGGTTTGATCCCTGATAGGAACGAGTGTGTGGATGTAGGACTGATTGGAATACAATAAATGTAAATACTTTTAAATACCTTTGATTTTACTACAGTTATTGGTGGTGCAGGGCTTAAAGTATTTTGGCACAGCGGCGGATCTGTGGCATGCAGCCGTGAGGGAAAAAGTAAATATTAGAGCCTGCCCTGCGCATGGGGTTTAATTAAGGATGCTCAAAATAACCGATTAACCGTTAACCGAAGGGTTCCATTTGTACCTGATTGGTATCAGTAAAGATATGGTATCAGTATAAAAAAAAAAAAAAAAAAAAAAAAATATATATATATATATATATATATATATATATATATATATATATATATATATATATATATATAAAATATTATTTTATATATTTTTAAAGTTTGGCTGCATAAGGGGCTGATCGAAGCGAACGCACTTTTTGCGTTGCATCTGTTGAATGGTTTACTAACGGCTGTGAGTGTTTTACGTGCTGCTTATGCACCCTGGGAACCTCACGTTTTGCCGTTGTGCGCTGTGTACTCGAGCGGAAAAAGTGTTTTTGTCAGTCGTGTCTTTTTCATTTTTCAATCAAATGAAAGCACTGCAGGGTTGCTGTTGAGGTGACAGCAGTGTTTGTGTTGTCAAGGTGACCACGGCAAACTTTTAATGATTGAGGAGATACTTGTGGTTGCTGTTTCAAGTTATCCAGAGCTGTATTGCTAGACAGATCTTGACAATCACAATATTATTAAAAATTACAATTATAACATCGACAGCAACACGACTTGCGCACATTTGCGTACAGGTCAGCTGATTCAGTCGTTTCCTAGTGACAAAAGAGCACTGCGCTTTTCCATTTTCTTGGAAAATTACAGTTATTAATAATTCTTATATAATATCAGTTTTTAAAATAGCCTACATAATCTACGAATCAAGAAATCCAAAGATTTTTCTTGATTTTTGTATAATGATAACTCCACTTTTCATTTTATTTTCATTTTAGAGCTTTTAAAACACATGCAAATGTAAGCAATATCATATGTAAACAACAAAATTGTTATACAAAAAGTCAACATACGAGTCTTGAGACACAATCTTTAATCTAACGACTTCTTTTAAAAATGTTGACAGAGGTTTTGTGAAATAATAATAATAACAGCGGAGCATTAACTAAATGCATATTTCCTGTGGAGCGATCAATTTGAGGAGGGCTGAAACAATTATATTTGACAGAAGAAACAAACATGATTGGACAAACAGCAGACCCTCATCCTCCTCCACTGTACCCCCTCCATCTTCTGGTCCAAATGTCTTAAAAAGAAAGAGTTTGCAGGACTTGGCTTACAACCCAGAAAAAAAGAAAGAAATTAGTGATAATGGCCTTGATTTCACTTCTAATCTTCAGTTTAGCAGTTCAGTTTTTAAGCACTTTGAGCACTTGTTATTTAAGCACTTGTTATTGTTTAACAATAATAACGAATACACTTTATTTGACATAGTACTTTTAAATAAATGGCGCAAAGCATAATCATTGAAGAGAGTTTATCTCAGTCTCAGTTTACCATTTTTTTAAGCACTTTAAGCTCCTGTTACTTAATTTTTGTTATTGTCGTTAATATTTGAAGTAAGTCCTTCAGTGTTGGTAATAATCATATCAGGCATGAATCTCATTGTATAACAGACAGATTTGTGGCTGCAGTTGTGTTGGGAATGGTGTGTAATATGAGCGAAACAGAAAGAGCTCTTGCCTGTGCATAGGCACCGTACGCTCCAAACTGCAGGGCCATGGGATTGAAGATGCCCATCTGACCGGCCATCTGCTGCATGCGTCGAATGGTCCGTTCCTTATCTGTGTCTGCAAACTTCACCACCAGGCTGGAGGAAGCGCCCTGAAACACACACACACACACACACACACACACACACACACACACACACACACACACACACACACGCAGACAAACAAAATGAGGATAGTTTGTGCTTTAAATGTGCTAATGATACAGAAGTGTGTGATCAGATGTTCTGGCACTCACAGGCATGGTTTGGCTGCCATGTAAAGCACTAATAGCGGCCTGAGCTTCTGCATGAGTGGAGTACTTCACAAACGCACAACCTGAAAACATGGAAAAACACACACGTCTGAGTCTTTTTTCTGGAGGCTTTCAAGCTTTTATCAGATCTTGGATAAAAGGAAAAAAAAACTTGAAAAAATATCAAATTTGTAAGAAGAAGTGTTATTTTGGTAAGTGTTTTTCCTCTGGATGCTCCGGTTTCCCCCACAAGTCCAAAGACAAGCAGTATTGGGTAAGCTAAATCGGCCGTAGCGTATGTGTAGGAGTAACAGTGTATAGATGTTTTTCAGTGATGGGTTGCAGCTGGAAGGGCTTCCGCTGCGTAAAACATATGCTGGATAAGTTGGCGATTCCTTCCACTGTGGCCATCCCAGATTAATAAATGGACTAAGCCAAAAAGAAAATGAATGAATGAGTGTTATTTTTGTATCGTTTAAAGATACTGTTGTAGTTGTTATTAAAATATTTTTCTTTTAATTGCAGCACAAGTTTGTAATAGTTTTATTAAAAATGTATTTTAGAAATTACTTATTCTTTCTAGTAACACTTTAGTTTAAGGGTCCAAAATAATGCATTAGTTAAGCATTAATTAATGGTTGATTAGCTAGAAACAAAAGCACTATTTATTCACTGTATTACTACACTATCTATAACACTGTATTAATGACACTTTAACCTTAAATATTATCCTGTTTAAGTCAAATAAACTTAAATATTCCCTAATAAGTGTCATAATTAATGTGGATATACGTTTTATTTCAAAATTCCTTTATTAGCACTGTATTAATGAGATTTTAGTCTTAATTAGCTACTAGCTAGTTCTAGTCAATTAACCTGAATATCACCCAATGGACATAACTAATTTTAGGACATGTGGTTAAACTGCAGCTCTCACATGGTTGCCCACTGAAGCTAAGCAGGGCTGCTCCTGGTCAGTACCTGGATGGGAGACCTCATGGGAATGCTAGGTTGCTGCCGGAAGTGGTGTTCGTGAGGCCAGCAGGGGGTGCTCAACCTGCGATCTGTGTGGGTCCTAATGCCACAGTATAATGGAGAGGACTCTATACTGCTCAGTGAGTGCCGTCTTTCGGATGACTCTCTATAATCCCTAAAAATCTCATGGCACTTCGAAACAAAGTAGGGGTAAATTTGCTCACTGGCCTCTGTCCATCATGGCCTTCTAACCATATCATACCATATCATCACTGTCTCCTCTCCACCAATCAGCTGGCGCAATATGTGTTCATCCAGGTGGATGCTGGACACTGGTGGTGGATGAGGAGATTCCCCTCTAATGTGTAAAGCGCTTTGAGTGTACAGAAAAGCACCGTAGAAATGTAAGGAATTATTGTTATTATTATTAAAGTTTTTTTCCACTATTTTAGCCATATATAATTAAAAAAATAACAGTAATTAAACAATTACTAGCTTGCTGTTCAGTTTACTTGCACAACCAATAAAATAAACATTAAATGGCTTATCAAATTGTAAATAATGGTTCAAATGCCTTTACTATATGCTCGGTTAATCATGAATTATGGGTTTGCTAATGCTTAACTGATGCAGAACTGTGAACATTTTAAACATGATTTACAAGATTTGATTGAGCGTAAATAATGCATTGTTTGGAACCCTTAAAATGTTTAGTTAACCATTGATTACTAGTGCTTTTGTTTTAAACTTTTGAGCAAATTAACCATTAATTAATTAATGCTTAACTAATGCACTATTTTGGACCCTTAAAATAAAAAGTTACCTCATGTCTAATTATAAAGACCTTAAATATAATAATAAACAGTATTTTAGTTCTCTGGATATTTTTATTAGATATTTGTTTACATAAAAACAAACTTGAACATCATTTCTTTGGGCACTCGCCCTATTAAACAAGTTACATAAATATATTTGGTTAAAATCATATTCATTTATTCGTTTTCTTTTTGGCTTAGTCCCTTTGTTAATCCAGGGTAACCTCAGTGGTATGAACCACCAACTTATCCAGCATATGTTTTGAGCAGCGGATACCCTTCCAGCTGCAACCCATCACTGGGAAACATCCATACACGGTTAAAAACATATACCAAACCAAATATAGAGTGTTGTTGTTTTAGTTTTAGTCAGGGCCAGATGGAATCTATGAGGTTTTTTGTTATTTCTGTGGAGAATTTTGGTAAAAATCTGCGGATTTCTGCGGAATTATTTTGGGAGTATCCAGCGGAGTATCATAACTAAAACCTTAATATATTAAATAAAAAGTAATAAATTACTGAATAAATTCAGATTTACACATTTACTCAAGCAAATAAAAAGAATTATTGATAGGCTAAAAATCTGCAGAAATCTGTGGAATTCTGCGGAAAATCTGTAGAATTCTGCACGCGCAGATTCCGTGTGGGCCTAGTTATAGTTAATGATAATAACTAACATTCATTCATTCATTTTCTTTTCGGCTTAGTTCTTTTATTAAACAGTGGAATGAACCGCCAACATATCCAGCATATGTATTATGCAGCAGATTCCCTTCCAGCCACAACCCAACACTGGGAAACACCCATTCACTGTCTTGCTGTAAGGCAACATTTTTTTGTTATTAATATAATTACTATTATTTAACAGTGTGTTCAAATTATTTCATAGAAACTGATATACTCATATATTCATAAAAAAATATGAAATGGCATAATATTTCACATAATAAAGTAATAATTAATTCAAATTTTACAATAACATTTTACATTGTTTATTTAAAATATGCAAGTGTAATTAAGTAATTAATAAGTTACTAAATAAGACTGAGTAGGACCAACACCATTTATATTGTAAATAAACAGCCACAAAATAGGATAATATTTCACATATTTGATAAGAAAGCAATATTAAAAGCTCATGTGACAGAACACTAAATCTTCATCAGTGTTCATTCCACTGAGTGTATAAAGTGAGAGTGAATGCAGTGAAACCTTTGCTGTTTCCGTCAGGTCCTCTGAGGATGGTGCACTCCTCAATGCTGCCGAAAGACTCGAAGAGACGCCGCACGTCATCCTCACACTGCTGCTTATTCAGCATACCCACAAACAGTTTTCTGTCTTCTGAAACAAACACAGACACATCCTCACATACTACACAAAACAGCTTTTAACATCAACAATCTTTCAGCAGGACTTCAAAGGGGCTGTTCACACAGAATGCGTTTTTGCTTTCCAGCCCGCTATTTTGTTGTGTGTGACCGTTACGCTCGCATCTCCTGTCTGTTGAAGCGGCATGCACATGAGCACCGCATTTTTTTAGATGCTGTGTCAAGTTAAAAGATCTTCAACTTTCACACGCAGGGCTGCTCGTCGCTGTCAGTTCCATAGCAGTGGGCCAATCAGAATAACTTGGAGGCGGGGCAACTGTTGGTTCATAAGCTATTTCTTTTTCAGATGCTTTTGACGTGATGCTTTTGCTGGAGATACTGTAGCCCAAATAAATGGAATAAAATAATTGTAAAAAACGTGAAAATAAAAACAAAACATACAACATAGGAACGATATAACAGATTTTATTTGCACCTCGACTTTTTCAAACCGCAGTAAATCTTGAAACTGGTTATGGTCCCATTGCTGGTCCAGATAGATACCCTTGTGCTTTCTGCTGTTTGAGAGACAGTTTGAGTTTGAGAGACATGTATGAAGTTATGTTTTTGCGAATCAGGACGTTTTTGTTAGCAGAAAATTGCTAGGCAACAAATGATTTGATATTCTAAGGCACAGAGTAATGAAGTTTGCCCTGCGCGCTCGCGGTTTAAAAAAAACTTTTTGGTTCGTTAATCTGGTTAATACTATTGTTTAAAAGGTCTTGATTCACACTCATCTAATAATTGCTTCCGACAGTTTTTATTTTACATTCTTCAGGTGATACAAAACACAATCAATTCGACACAATGGCTTCCGAAGTGTGACGGCCACTCGATGATTGAAAACAAACTTATTTTCTTTTCATTATTCTATAATTAACCACACAAGCATATATTTATCTTTACCTTCAAAGACATTATTTCATAGGAAAAAAGTATATCAATTATCATCATGTCTACATCAATACAATAATTCCAACAATCCGAAACATTTAAAAATACATTTGTCAATCACATTGTGTCATTAACTAGATGGCTACTTGATGATTAACTACAATCTCTTTTTCATTTCAATATACCATAATTAACCACACACAAAATATTTACCTTCACCTTTAAAAACATATTTTAAGGCAGTGGATTCTCAACTAGTGGGCCACTTTTGGGTCGTGGGAACATTTTTAGTGGGTCACGGAGTGTGTAGTCAAAAAAAAGTACAATTTTGTGCTTATTTTGACTTTTATTTTGAAATGCGTGCACGACAACTATACTGTTTGACATGTGAAATTTCATTTAATTATAGCAACAAATATGTCCAAGCGCAAGTACGACCCTGAATATATAAAGTATGGATTTATATATATTGACAGTAAAAAAAGACTTAAAGACTCAGTGTCATAAGTAGTGAGGTGTGAGAGCACAAAATCTTCTAAACTAAAATGACATTTAGAAACCAGACAGTTCTTACTAACAGTTCAGTTTAGTTCATGGTAACTGAACATTTCCTTACCCTAACCACTGTTTACAGTATTTGTCGTTTTTACTTTGTAATATTTTTATAATTTGATACATTTTGTTAAATGACAGCAATAAAATATTGTTTATTTGTAAGTCTTATGGATTTTCTTATGATCTATTAGTCACTACTTGTGTATTTTAACAAATAAATACAAATTAATTATAATTCCTAAAATTGTATAGTAGTTTTTTAAAATTTGGGTTGCGGCTTGATGACCATGTAAAAATGTGGGTCCCATGGCCAAACCAGTTGAGAACCCCTGTTTTAAGTCAAAGAAAAAAAGATGGTAAAATGCGTGCAGTCAATTTTACTATTGTGGTCATAAAATACTGTTCTGTGTTTTGCTTTTTACATAAAATACCAATGTTAGAATGAAATGTGTGTGAATGAAATAAAGTCAGGCCACTACAGTCATTGTTTTTATTTTAACAGAGATATTCAATTACAAATACGGCCTCAACACACCCTGCCAATCAGCAATAAGGGGGTGTGTCTAGTAACGATAGCAGCGATATCAAAAAGAGGCGGGTCTTGTTGGTTTCAATCAATCAAAAAAAATTGATTAGCAAACATTTGATATTCTGTTGCTAGGTAACTCAATCATTTATTCATTTTCCTTTGGCTTAGTTCCTTATTAATCAGGGGTCACCACAGTGGAATGAACCGCCAACTATTCCACCAGCTTATTCCCTTCCAGCCGCAACTCAGTACTGGGAAACATCCATACACACTTACATTCAAACACACACTCATACACTACAGTCAATTTAGTTTATTCAATTCACCAATAACACATGTCTTTGGACTGTGGGGAAATTGGAGCACCCGGGGGAAACCCACGCCAACAAGGGGAGAACATGGGAACTCCATACAGAAATGCCAACTGACCCAGCGCCACCGTGCTAACCACTGAGTGACCATGCTGCCTGCTAGGTAACTTCTTTTTCCCAATGACATATTATTAATCAGTTTTTGTCAATTTAAGGTATTAGAGGCACAGAATTCCATGAGAAATGAGTGTGTGTGTTGTCCTGGGTCGACATAATAGTTAATGAATCTAATTATTTATCACATGACTGCACATATTTCTTTGTGAAGTGTTTTTTTTTAGCCATATATCAAAACAACAGTCATGTTCATGGGCAAGTTGGACGGTTTAGCGGATCTAAGATGACTCAAATTTCTAATTCTATTCAAACTAAACAAGCACGGTGCTGGGTGAAAACAAAAATGTGATTAAAAGTCGCCCCTCGCAAAGTTCAACAGCAAACGTATTAAAAGTCCGACAATAAATAAAAGCGCTTCAAAGACGTTGGATCTATCAATCCCACAATGCATGCTTTTTATCCACCCTAATTGACAATTTTCTATGTGTAAATCCGGCGCGGCGGTATGAAAGCCTGTCGGTGCTACTGTATAATGAAATGAGTTTATGAGCGAGGAATCTGTGGAGAACCTTTCGCCTAGTCGATTCTGCCACCTCAGGAGTCCTTGTTTATTGTTTGTGCTCTTATTTATCAGATTATGTAGACATTATTGAATTACACATCAGCGTGAGGGGAACAAAAGCGCTATTGTTTCAGGTTTTTATTAGGCTGTAATTGGTGTGTCAATGTTACATGTTTAAAACTCAAGACAAGGCACAGAGTAAAAAAACACATTTATAGGGAGCAGAGGGAATTAGACTGGATATGACACACACACACACACATAGACACTTATTTATAAAATGTTTACTAATAGGTTTATTAGTTTTAAAAAAATATGACTATAAAAATTATAACATAAGACTAACACACAAATTGCTCTTAAAATGTAATTTTTTGAAAAAATATATTATGCTCTGCATTTATTACAAAATATAAACATTGCCATATACTGTAAATGAAAATGTAATATACTATTAGACAGTTATCAGCTCTTATTGCTTTTAATAAATAATTATGAATATAGTAAACTGAAAGTGAATAAATGTAACTGTAAAATTGTATTTCATACTTTCTATTGCTTTTATTTCTTAAAATAAGCAATGATGTAAATAATCACAGACCAATACCTGCTTCTGAATCAAATGTTCAGAATTTTTTTTAAATAAAATATTATTTTATACCTTTATTGTTTTTTTTTTCAAAATAAGAAATAATGTAAATAATAACAGTTTAATACCTGCTCCCAAATTAAATGTTTAGAAAATTATAACTGCTATACAGCGTTGCTGTAGTACCACATCTTAAAAGATAAAGTTATTAATAAAGATGATTAATTTAGCCTTGAGATATTGTACTATGACAACACTATTATAACATACTATAAAAATGATTATCAACTATTGTTTTTAACAAATAAATATGAAAATAGTGCAATGCAAATGTGACTAAATGAATGTAAAATAATATTTTATACTTTTTATTTTTTCAAAATAAGGAATAAAGTAAATAATCACAGACCAATACACTGCAAAATCTTGATTGCCTTACATTTTTAGGCTGAATCAAATTAACCTTATGAGTCTATTGAGCTTATATTATGTTAAACTGACTTAAAACAGCTGGCGTAACATATAAAATTAAGTTAGAACAAGATTAATTTAGTTTAACAAGTTACAATCAACTAAAAACATATACAACATATTTTTTACATTGAACCTGCTCCCAAATGAAATGTTTCTAAAATAAGAATAAAAAAAATAACAAAATTAATATTATACAAAAAATAAAAAATAAAAAAACATAAGTGTTGCTATAGTACCAAATGTCATAAGCTAAAGTTATTAATAATTTTTTTTTAATTTAGCCTGAAGATATGGTACTATGGCAACACTATTTTATATTTGAACAATATTGAGAAAATTCTCATTCACAGCACATCTGTATTTAAGGACATTTGTCATGACTGCATGTCTACAAATGAAGACTAATAGTTTTCAGATATTTAGATAAGTACATTTAAAGGTTAATTAACCTATCACAATGTAATTTGATGTAACTGCAATGTAATACAATGTAACTTGAATAAATCTCTATTTATTTTGTAATATTTTTCTTATTTTATTTTTATATTATTATTATTAATATTATTATTTTAAAACCTCATCTGTAAGGGGTTAAATTGGTGTGGAATGGGTTGTTCTGTAACAAATAAATAAATAAATAAATAAATAAAAATCATAAATAGTCTAAAAATATAAATACAAAGAGGAGGAGATCAGCAGTTTCAGCATTTTTAATATCGGTCTCTGACCTTTTGTACACTGCGACTGCATGTAAATGATTACATAAAAATGTGCTTTCAGCAACTAAATGTTGGGTTTGCATAATGTATGTGTGTATGATGGATATTAATGAGCAGTATTGTGTATGAGTGTGTGTTTGTTCATGTGTTGATGTTTATATGTGTCTCTGAAAAGCTGTCCTTGTCCAGTCAACATGACTAATCTCCAGTTCGGTCTCACAGAGGGGAATGTTTACAAGTGGGATGAGAATATGCAGGATCACTCACACACACGCACGCACACACAGAGTAATGTCACTGAATATGCTTGTGTTTAGCTGAAAATCAAACAGCATGTAAATTGAGAGGGAGAAAATGTGAAGACAAATAATCAACAAGCTGAAGAAGGTTTGAGTCAAAAGGTATCAAAGAGTAAATAATTAATATATTACAAAAGAAAGAAATAATAATACAATGATAATTTAAATTACAATTATAATAATATAATTGTTATAAAACTATTTAAGAATTGATTTGAAATATACTGCTCAAAAAATAAAGGAAATACTTGGAGTTACATTGTGTTGTTTAAGAGTTCCCTTTATTTTCTTGAGCAGTTCATATAGGTCTATAGTTAAAATATATTTTTTTTAAATAAGCTTTTTTATTAATTAAATGAATCATAAAGTCATTTAAAAGGTATTAATATAAAACAAATAATAAAAGAAATATGGTATGTTTTTTTATCTTTCAAAGAAAAATGTTTTTTTAAGATAAAAGTATAAAAGTAACATAAATAATAAACTTTTATTCATTTAAATTGTACATTTTCATAAATTAGTTAAAAATAAGTTTATTTTAAAACAATATTAATAATTAACAAGTTCCAATAAACTATTGAATTAATTTACAAAGCACAAAAAAAGTTTTAAAAATGTTTAACAAAAAAATACATTTTGTAAATGTATTTATAAATGTATACTGTACATTGTTTGCTAATTTTATACTTTAACATATATGAATAACTTTTCATTTTGTATATTTAAAATGCCGTTTTTAATTAAAAGAAAGATGATTTAGGTAAATATAAGATATGAAATCTTTAAAATACAGTTGAGGTCAGAATTGTTAGCCCCTTTTGAATTTATTTCTTTTTTAATATTTCCCAAACGATGTTTAACAGAGCAAAGAAATGTTCACAGTATGTCTGATAATATTTTTTCTTCTGGAGAAAGTCGTAGCTGCTTTATTTCGGCTACAATAAAAGCAGTTTTTAATTTTTTTAAAGCCATTTTAAGGTCAAAATTATTAGCCCCTTTAAGCTATATTTTTTCTGATAGTCTACAGAACAAACCATCATTAGAAAAATAACTTGCCTAATTACCCTAACCTGCCTAATTAACCTAATTAAGCCTTTAAATGTCCCTGTAAGCTGTATAGAAGTGTCTTGAAAAATATCTAGTCAAATATTATTTACTGTCATCATGGCAAAGATAAAATAAATCAGTTATTAGAAATGCGTTATTAAAAATATTATGTGTAGAAATGTGTTGAATAAATTTTCACTCTGTTAAACAGAAATTAGGGAAAAAATAAACAAGGAGGCTAATAATTCAGTAGGGCTAAAAATTCTGACTTTATCTGTATATATTTTACATTATTTTTTGTAATGAAGAAAAATATTTAAAGAAATGTAATGCATTTTCATGTGTGAATGTAAAATGTAAACAGATGTCTGCTCGTTTTATATCAAAGTTGCTCCAGGACCAAACATACTCATAATAGAAAAGCACACTCCAGCAAAATAGCTATTTTGTTTGGAAGAACAAGTCTTTTCTTTAGTTATCTCCAACTGTTTCCTTTCATTCTCTCTGATATCCATCCTGATTTGCCTCTGATGACCACCGCCGCATCCCTCTAACTCTCCTTCAAGTCTCTTTCTGTCTTTCCGTCTCTCACTTCCTTTCCTTGTCTTTCCCACTTTGACCTTTAGCTCTGTCTCTCCATCCCGTGTTTCGCTTTAAATGACTAGTGAATAGATGTGTGGAGGACGGCGCCTCGCTTTTGCCGGTGGAATCCGAGGGCTTTGCTGGGACATATATTGCATTTTTACAGGGCTAACAGGGGGATAAATTCAGCTGTCCGTCACCATGAAGACAATTGACCTGTCAAGTGTGAGTAAAGGAAGACGCCCTCAATTAGAGGAAGGAACGTATGGCGTGAAATGAAGGAAAGACTGAAGAAAGGAGAGCTGTCCTGTGCATCTGTGTGTGTGTGTGTCTCGCTTTGTCTTTGGCTCCATCAATCACGCTTGTCTGAAAAATCGGACCCAAAAAAGACCAGCTCGTTCTTGCCAGACTACTCATACACACGTGCATAGGCAAAGCACATAGAAACTCATTCTCACAACACTTATGAACACACACACACAGACGCACACACTTACAAGTGAATTAATGGTTAAAAACAAGCATGCTTTACAGTCTGATGACATTGCAGGTTTTGTTAAATGATCACAGTGGAACAGATTCAATCTAATCACAGTAGAATATTTTTAAGTTCTATTGATATCATGTAGGGTGACGAAGTGGCGCAGTAGGTAGTGCTGTCGCCTCACAGCAAGAAGGTCGCTGGTTCGAGCCTCGGCTGGGTCAGTTGGTGTTTCTGTGTGGAGCTGGATGTTCTCCCTGTGTTCGCGTGGGTTTCTTCTGGGTGCTCAGGTTTCCCTCACAGTCCAAAGACATGCAGTACAGGTGAATTTGGTATGCTAAATTGTCCATAGTGTATAAGTGTGTATGGATGTTTCCCAGAAATGGATTGCAGTTGGAGGGCATCCGCTGCATAAAACATGTGCTGGATAAGTTGGCGGTTGATTCCGTTTTGGCGACCCCGGATTAATAAAGCGACTAAGCCGAAAACAAAATGAATGAATGATGTCATGTATTGGAGCCTTTAGTGCAAGCCTCTTTCAATTCCTATTTCACAGTGGAAGGTTTTTAACTTTTTATAACGTTATAGAGAAGGAGATTCTACCGTCACAGTATGTTCTTATGATGGAATAATGGAACATTTAAAAATTCTAATGTCACAGTGGAATGTTTTGGGTACAGTACTTATGATATCATAGTGGACCTTTTAAAAATTCTAAAGTCACAGTGAAACATTTTAAGATCTATTTATGGAATAATGGAACCTTTTGAAATTCTAATGTCACAGTGGAATATTTTAAGTTCTTATGATGTCATGGTGGAACCTTTTAAACATTCTAAAGTCACAGTGGAACATTTTAAGATCTATTGATATAATAATGGAACCTTTTGAAATTTTAAAGTCACAGTGGAACATTTTAAGATCTATTGAAGGAATAATGGGACCTTTTGAAATTCTAATGTCACAGTGGAATGTTTTAAGTTCTTATGATGGAATAAAGGAACATTTTAAAATTCCAATATCACAGTGAAATGTTTTAAGTTCTACTGATGGAAAATAGAACCTTTTGAAGTTCTAATATCACAGAGGAATGATTTATGCTCTTATGATGTCATAATGGCACTTTTTAAAATTCTAAAGTCACTGTGGAACATTTATAAGTTCTAGTCATGGAATACTGGAACCTTTTAAAGTTCTAAAGCACTCAATTAGTTTGATCAGGTGTGTTAAATTAAGGTTGGAACTAAACTGTGCAGAGCTTCAACTCTCCAGAAACTGGCTTTGACACCTTGCCATAATGGAACGTTCAAAACCTTATGTCACAGTGAAGACTTTGTAAGTTCTTATGATGTCATAGTGCAACATTTTTAAGCTCTTGTAATTTTTATAAAATAACATTTTGAGTTCTGTGAAGTTAAAGTGTAACCTTTTCAAGTTATTATGAAGTCACGAGGGAACATTTGATGACATGAAATTTTAAATTTCTATAAAATTAAAGCGCAAGGCTTTTAGAGTTTTATATTGTCATACGGAACCATTTTTAAGTTCCTATAATGCCATAAATGAACGTTTTTAAGATTCTATGATATCATAATAAAGTTCTTATAAGATATACACTTATTTCCCCACTGGCAATTTTAAAAGCTCTTAATCCGAGATTTGTTTTTGCACTCTTCCCTAAAAAAGTGGCCTCAAAAATGGTTATTTCTTTATTCGCATCAAAAACGGTAAAACTCGGAGAACAGTTTCTTGGCAGCACCTCTGTGAAGGGTAATCACGAAACTAAAGGAGTGACCTGCGCTTATGTAAGGCGTGTGAGGGCCGTCCCAAGATCCTCTGGGGCCCTGTATGACTGTCGACTCTCATCGAGGTGCGTGATTATATGTGACACTTAAGAAGGGACATCCACCGGTAATGGAGACACTGATTCAGACTGACAGAACGTTGGGGGGAGAAATAGAAAAGGAAAAAGGAATAAAAAAAAGAGAAGTGTAAATCTACCTCCCCTGCTCTCACTGTCAGCTGGCTTCACCTGGATTGGCCTGTTCATCTGTGCAATAGAGAGAGACGAGGAAAAGACAGGACAGACAGAAAGAAGAAGGGGGAAAAAGACAAGAGAAGACATTAGATTTGCAGTTGAGCGCAAAAACTTTTCAAGGGAAATTATCACTTTTTTTGCGCTTGGTGTCAGTATGTGGGATGTGAGCCGTTGCAGAAGTGTTTGTGTGTATAACATTTGATGAAATACCCTAAACACACATATAAACACAAAAAAAAACTGCTTGTCAATGTTTTTTTTTTCTTTTTTTTGTCACAAGATTAAAGATGTTCATTTAAAATTGGAAACATTCTGGTAGAAATAGTTTATGTGTGGGTACATTTGTGCTCCAGTGTCCCTGTATCTGTGTTTACACTCAGTTAACAGCAGTGAGTTTGCTGAACTGATGACCTTCAAGGCCAATCACAGTCATTTCTGTTGAGCGCTGTTCAAGAATGTGCTCAAATGTTAGCGGCAAATGGATTTCAGTACCGATTGGTACTCAATTCCAGTATCGTGACAACACTATATTGCTATTGTAAAACGTATTATATACACCACAATATCTCCCAAGTCATGTCATTGCTTGGTTTGGAATAAATCATTTTCAATAACATAGTGAAACGGACATTAATTGAGTTTTGTGGACTTCTGATTTCTCATTTAATATTCATAAATGATTGCTTTTTCATGCTTGACTATCACACAAATACAACAGATCCACCCTGGCACATGAAACAGGCAGCAGATTATTCTTTTCTCATACTACTTAAAAAAAAAAACAAAAAAACAAAGAATAGAAGGTCATAAATTTAAATTACCACCATAACCAGTGAGCGACAGCAATTTCACTTTGCAATATTCCACACACACACAAATATCTCAACACATTATTAAGCTGGAGAGATGGTGCGATGCAATTCATTATCACTTAAAAATATTCTTTGTCTGGTAGAATAATGCATTTTGCAAAACAATCACCACATTCCAAATGGAAAAGGCAAGCGTTTGTCAGAACGACGGCGCAATCCAGAGGCAAATATTCAAAGAAACACAAGTCTGAGCAACACTCAACACGGTATACATCTCATTTATACAAGCACATTTGCATCCATCTGTGTTTATGCGTATGAATGGAAATGTGTGCGACTGTGTGTGTGTGAGGTCTCGCTAAAAGACATTCACAATCATAAAGTGTTTCGTTCTGCTTCCTTCACTCGTGGCAGATTCCCGACTGACTCCGGCTCAATAATACATGTAAGCTATGGAACGGTCTGCGGCAATCAATTTTTAATAATGCCAATTGTCACGGTGCCAGCAGGAAGGAGAAGAGAAGAACGGGACCGTGCCATTCAGATAGACAGACAGACAGGGCACTGGCCTAAAAAAAACTAAAATTAACACACACACACACACACAAACTTCATTTCTCTAGCAATCGTCCACAGCAGGTCCCTTCACTGGCAATTATCTGCCATGTAGATTTTACAAGCAACTGTCTTTGCATAACAGAAAGTGCTTGAGGAAAAAGACTCTTCGAGTAATAAAAAAAAAAAGGCTGAATAGTGCTGTCGTACAGGTCAGTTTAATCAAATCCTTAAATAAAATGTTCTTTAGCTCCTGATAATTGTGTGTGTAAGGTTTTATACACATGGAATCCTTTTAATGTCTATTATGATTATAATGGCTATTATACTAGATGTGTTGGTCATTTTATTTACAGTTTAACTGCATCATTCTTATTTCTGCTACTTTAACTTAATTATTTCTTATTTTGTTTTTATAAATATGTACTGTGACCTTTTATTTTTAATTAAAGAGTAAACATGAAAATAACATGATCTGCCTTTTCAATAAATTAAATAAAAAGAAAACGTGATAAAATGTGGTTAATATTTCGTTTGAAGCAGTTTACAATGATAATATAAAATAACAGGAATATGACTGACTGTCTGATTGCGTCTTTTAAAGTCGCTTTGGGTGAAAGAATCTGATTAAATAAATAATTAAAAAATTAACTAATAAATGAAATGAATTAATTATTTTTTAAAAATATCAACATTTGGCAATAATAAGCAGAAATAATGCAAAATAAATATTAAATACATACAAAATCTGCAATTTTTTATATTAAATTATTTAATAAAATTTTCTCATTTCTAACATGACATTTTATGAATATGTGCAGATTTATCTGTGTCTCTTTACAGTAGTCTTCTCAATTATCAATTTTGAAACATCAGTTTTGAAAATGTGCTTAATATTTGTGTGAAACTGTGATGTATACTTTTTCCCAGTACACTGAAAAAAAGATTTCTGCAAAATTGTAGCAGACAATTTATATATCTTGAATTTAAACAAACAAATTACATTTAGTAATGTTCAACTTAATTTGTTTGTTTAAATTCAGCATAAATAAATTGTTTACAACAACTTATCTTAAAAAAATCAAGAAAATCAAATAATCATCTTTGAATCATATTTTCAGTGATTAATTAATTTGAAATGTAAAAAAATTAAATATCAAATCAATTTATCATTTATATTATACTTATTATTGTATAATATACTATTCATATTACTTCAAAACATTTTAAAAACCATTGTACTTATAATCATTATTATAATATATACATTTTGTATTAAAAACTATCTTAAAAAGCCCCTATTTTGCATTATAAAATGTCATTTTTTGCTTTTAGGGGTCTCCAACAACAGACTGATATCTATGCAAGGTCAAAATTTATTTTATTGTCCTATAATATGCATTTATTTTGTTCCTAATTATTCCAATAACTCCCATATTAATTTAGTGATTCATTTGTAACCAAACCCCTTCTTAGCGCAAAGCTAATCTGCTGTGATTGGTCCGATTACCCAGTCTGCTGTGACTGGTCGACTGCGTTAAGCATGAGACAGAGAGGAATGGCCACCACAGCTATGAAGTGTGTGCGAGCCTAATGCAGGAATGCAATAAAGCAATGCAGTTAAACACCAGCTTATAACTCTACTCATAACACTAACCCAATAACAACGACACACACATTCAGAATTAATTCACATAGTGGCAAAAGTTTAACTATTTTGAAAATTGACTGCACCGCATGTGGAGAACAGCTCATGGTGGCCATAGCAAAGACAGATGGCAGAGGATCGCAAGTTCAGAAACGCATTTAAATCAGTAAAGGAAGAAGCACATGTCACGTTTTCAACATGGTTTTTGAAGCAATATGCGAAATAGCATCATGAAGGTTCAACCTGAGAGATACAGTACAAGCACTGATCTTTAATAGATAAGTGATTACAAGCCGCGCGTAGCGATTACAAGTTACAACACACAATTAAACACATATTTTGCAAACTACAGAAAACAAGGCAACAATTTTAATTATACCTACATGTTATGATCCCGATGAAGAAGAAAGGTTCTCATAAAGGTTCATATAAACCAGGGGTCACCAATCTCAGTCCTGGAGGGCCGGTGTCCCTTCAGGTTTTAGCTCCAACTTACCTCAACACACCTGCCTGGGTGTTTTAAGTATACCTAGTAAGACCTTGATTAGCTTGTTCAGGTGTGTTTGATTAGGATTGGAGCTAAAATCTGCAGGACACCGGCCCTCCAGGAACAAGTTTGGTAACCCCTGATATAAATTGTAACAGTTACTGACAAAGTCCCTGTCAAAGTCTGACAAAGTACCATACATAATAGTCTTCGCTGCTTCGTCCTTTTATAGCAAACGCCGGATCAATCTTGCTTTGCAGCATAGGTTATTGTATTAAAAATCAGAAAAATGCAAAGACAAACACAGCAATAGATTGACTATTTATTTTCTTATTATATTAGCTAGGAGATCACATTGAGACAGTACTGTCTCTTCTTCCAGTGAGACCTGGTCAAGATGGCAGGCAGCACACAAAGTGTCACAAAAGCAATACCACAAAATTACTAAATCACCATTCATAAAAGGATCAAATCAAATAAATAACAATTACAAGTGTCCTTTAAGAGTCGGAAGTGTGTCAAGATTGAGTTGATTTTGCAGGTCATTCCAAGCCCTGGGAGCATAAAAGGAAAAAGCACGATTGCCAAGTTCTGACAATACCCTTGGACTGTAAGACGAATACAGGAACCAGACCTAGTAGGTTGGTTATTTGTAAAATGTTAACAAATTAGAAAGATAGGTTGGTAATTTATCTAAGAGAACCTTTCAAATAAATCAGTACAGATGTAATTTTCTCCTTTGATATAAAGATAACAAGTCTAAGGAATCGTACAAAATACAATGATGTGTCCGTGAGTCTGCGCCTGTGACGAAGCGTATTGCTGCATGATTATCAGAATCTAGTTTTCTGAGTAGAGTAGCGGCTGTGTGCATATAAAGATGATCACCATATTCAGATATAGACAGAAATGTACTCTTTACTCGTTTCTTACAGACCTTATAAGGAAAACTATTTTTAGATATTTTTTTTTTCAGTCGCATGATCCCCCATGCTCTGCTAGTGTCTGAAGGGGAAAGGCACGTTCACGTTTTACCAGAACCAGCACTTTATATTTGCTGATATAAACCCAACTTGATGAACCCAACTTGATTCAGTTTATTCGACTCTGAGTCGACTATTTTCTTAAAGAATCTAATTTTAAACATGGTGCACTCTTAGATTTATACCTCAGCTGAATGCTTTCATTCACTTAGTGCAGTGTTATACTGCATGGAAGCTCATTTGCAAAAACCCATAATTGGGGCTTTTTAAGAAAAAAGCTCTAAAATGGTTAAAGTCAAAACATGTAAAAACCTTATAACTATACTATAAAAAAAACTATATATTTATAATCACTTATAAAGCCGGAATATACATCAAGAAATAAACCTGAATATATTAGTAATTGATAAAAGCATGGAGCTGCAAGGAACATCTGAAAGTGTATCAAGGTATAAAAGAAACTGAATAAAAGTCACATGTTCATCTCTGCGCTCGTCCTTGCTTATGCATAATTACAATAAACTAAT